CAGCCCTATACTTCTGCGCTCTGAATCGAGAACCGAGTCCATCCATGGAGGGCTCTCATAGAGTACAGCCCTATACTTCTGCGCTCTGAATCGAGAACCGAGCCCAGCCATGCAGGTGTATAATAGAGGGCGCCCCTTTATCTGTGCGCTCTGAATCGAGAACCGAGCCCGGCCATGGAGATGCATAATAGAGGACAGCCCTATATCTGTGCGCTCTGAATCGAGAACCGAGTCCAGCCACGGAGATGCATAAATGATAGAGGGCGCCCCTTTATCTGTGCGCTCTGAATCGAGAACCGAGTCCAGCCATGGAGATGTATAATAGAGGACAACCCTTAGAAGGAACCGCCTCGAGGTTCCTAGACTCTCGACCCGTTTCCTATTCGTTTCCGAAATTGTTCAAGTTTCTCACAATTTGGGGGCCTTCCCCGGTGGTTCTCGTCCTTTTTTTCTGATTTTCACTCTCAGCCTGTGCCTGCGTGGGCTTTTTCTGGCAACATTTGGCTGGCTGCTCTGTCTGGCTTGGGCTGAAAGGGCGCCCCCGCTGTCCTTGCTTTATAGGGTGCAAGCTGCCGCGGCAAGCGGTCGCCGCTTCACCTAAGGGAGGCCAGCCAGGCAGGCAGCTGCTTGCGCAAGCGTGTCAGCGCGCCACACTATACCGCAAGCAAACGAGCCACGCAAAGCAAGGCTGGCGCCTGGGTGGGGTGAATAAAGGCGGAGGCCATGATAGCAGGCGCCCGCTGTCCGCTTGTTCCCCTGTTCATTCCTTGGCCCCTTGAAAGCGTCCACACAAGCTGACGCCTGGAGGCAGCGGCTACGCCTGACCCGGCCGACGCAGCACGCCAACGCCAGCCAGTGAAGCACGCGAGGCGTTTCACGTGCCGGCGCGCGTATGCTCCTGCGCCTCGCCTCACCAGAAGAAACCCAAAAAGCCCAACCGGTTGCCGAAGGGGTCGCAGCTGAAATCGCATGTCTCTGCGCGTGTTTGAAAATTGCCGCCGCCGCGTTTTGCTTCAAAAAAGTGCGCCAAATGCCTCCGCCATGTCATGCGGGGAAGCCAAAAAGAGGGGAGACCTTTTCCATCTTTTTTTTGGTTTCTGTAGGCGGTTGAAAGTGTCACCTTTTTGGCACCCTCTGGGCACTTTTTGGGCCTCTTTTTCGGCTGTTTCTAGTGCGGTCCCGCAATCTACAAGCCGCCGCCGGTTTCGGCCGCGATCTGAGGATCCGGAATTCGTTTCAAATCCGTGACAGAATTCGTCTCAAATCAATTCCAAATGATGCCGATTCTAGTGCGCTGGGCGCTCTATTTTTGGCTGGTTTGAAATGGATCTGAACGAATTTGAAACGAATTTGGGATGCCCAGATCGCGGCCGACAAAAGCCGTGGCCTGGAGATCGCGGAACCACACTAGAAACAGCCGAAAAAGAAGCACAAAAAGCGCCCAGAGGGTGCCAAAAAGGTGACACTTTCAACCGCCTACAGAAACCAAAAAAAAGATAGAAAAAATCTCCACTCTTTTTGGCTTCCCCGCATGACACGGCGAAGGTTTTGGGCGCCCTTTTTTGAAGCAAAAAGCGGCGGCGGCAATTTTCGAGCACGCACAGAAAAAAGCGAATTCATCTGTGGCACCTTCTGCAGCCGGCTGAGCTTTTTGGCGCTTCCCTAGGCCACGAGTTCAGCCGAGCGCCTGAGAATACGCGCGCCGCCATTAAAAAACACCCTTGGCACCACACTGACCGGCCCGCCCCCGGCGCGGTCAGTCGAAAGCGCCCGGCAAAGAGCCCGCCAGCAACCATGCTGCAACGAAAAGCAGAAAAAGACAAGGAACAACCAAGGGGGCCTCCCGAAGCCTTCGACCCTACTCACCCGAAACACCTGGCTGCCCAGCCACCCTCGCGCCGCTCGCCTGCCGGGGCAAGGCGTCCCATGGTCATCGTTAGAGTTAAACCTACGCAGGCAGCAACCCCCGAGCCTGCCGAGCCCTTGAAGCCCGCAAAAGTCCGCAGCCGACGGCCTTAAGCAACACCCAAAAACTTCGGCGAGGTTTTGCCTCTCCAGCCTCCTACTTCGATCAAAAAAAAACCGAAGAAAACCCAACGCAGGAGCAAAGTCAGCAGGCCAACAAAAAACCCGAAAAAAACCCGCAAAAAGCGCCAAACGCTCAAAATTCTGAACGAATTCGGAAACGAATAGGAAACGAGTCGGTTCGGCCGCCTATGCTCCTCGAGGCGGTTCAGCCTAAAACCCTATATTTGTGCGCTCTGAGTCGAGAAGTGAGTCGAGCCCTGGAGATGTATAATAGAGCTACAGGAGAACCCTACATCTGTGCGCTCTGAATCGCGAACCGAGTCGAACCATGGAGATGCATAGTTATAAATAGAGGAGAGCCCTATATCTGTGCACTCTGAATCGCGAACCGAGTCGAACCATGGAGATGCATAATAGGGGACAGCCCTCTATCTGTGCGCTCTGAATCGAGAACCGAGGCGAACCATGGAGATGCATAATAGAGGGCGCCCCTATATCTGTGCGCTCTGAATCGAGAACCGAGTCGAACCATGGAGACACGGCAAGGCTGTCCCTCCTGAATCGAGAACGAGCAACGCACCTCATTGCGGGCGCGCATTTATTGAGCTGCGGAGGAATACGCCCAGGCTGTCTACCTCCGGTAGCACTTAGCTGAACTGTTGCAGAATTTGCGGGGCAAGGCAACGAATTCACGAGGGAGACACCTGGACCAAAATACACCAAGGCGGATTCTACTGCGATGCTGAGCAAAGAAGCAGTGGCGCAGCTGATGCAAAAGGAAGAAAAAAAGGACGCGCCTGATCTAGGGCCCCGCGATAATGGTAACGCCCTGCGTTGATTTCTAGAAGGTTCCCTGACTTGTGTCGTGATGCTTATGCATGAAAATGAATGAAGCGAATAAGTATAACTCTAAGACGTTCGCTGTTTGTCTGTTCTATATAGATCGGCGGGACTCTATGAAATGAAAGCGCCAGCACCTCACTGCTTCCGCACAGCCTTGGAGCTGGATGCCTTCACGCTCGTCGTGGTTTTGCCCTTGGTGGGGCTGGATGCCTTCACGGTCGACGCCTTGGACTTGGAGAGGCTGGACACCTTCACACCTGACGCCTCTGCCTTCGAGGAGGTGGACACCTTTACCGTGGGGGATATGCCTGAGGCCTCAGAGCTGGCGGCACCCGTAGAAATTTTTCGGAGAGAGCGAAGCCGCGCGGCATCCTTCTAGTAATGTTTCTGCAACGATTAGAGCACAAACAAAAGACAAGACACAGCTGGCGCATGAGTTTGCGAGGATTTAGCTAAAGGACGAAGGCCACGGGTATAATACCAGACGAACGAGAAGAGCACAAGCTCAGGCAAAGAATACAGAAAAACACCACCACCCACACGCAGGCCCCTACCCTTGCTAGGCGAGACAGGTGGCAGCCCTCCCTCCGCCAGATCATAAAATAAAGCGAGTAGCGCCGCCTTCGTGGCCAATGATTAGAGGAAAACCCAAGGAGAAAACAGGCGCCCCACTCATGGCTCTGCTCTGCTAGTCGCTTACCTCCAGAGGCCCGCGCGCTCCTTGAACAAAGCAAAACAGAAGACAGAGGCGACGACAGTTCCTTCCCTTCCCATACTGTGCCTCTCGAGACGCCACGACCCCAGCAGCCGACGCAACCGCTTCCAACTGCAACCGCGTCAAGCTCGTGAAATCTCCTTGCCCCACCGCGGCGAGAGCCTCCTGGTTTAGTTAGTGGAATCCACCACAGAGCCAACCTCCTCAGAAATATCCCCGATGGCGCAGCTGAGCAGGGTGCTCCACTCCCTGGAACATCCTGCCAACTATTTCAAAGACCACAACCACAGACACGCTAGCCACGACAGCCTTAATTTAGCGGCTGCGGCACGTCCCCCGAGCTGAGGAAGGTGATGAGGTCGGCGCGGCTACAGGCCGCCCTGGGGCAGGTTTTAGAGGCAGACGCCTGGTGCTTGGTTGCCTCGCTTTTTTATGCCTTGCGCCCCCCTCTTAAGAAAGGCAAAAAAAGACACACGAGAAACACCACAAGCCTGCCGCCCGTAAGAGTAGTGGCCATGTACTTCACCACCCAGCGCACGGGGCTCAGCCGTAGACATCTCCCGCAGCCGGTCGAGCTTTGGCACCTTCGCAGCCAAATCCATCGAGCCCAAGTCCATGCCAAGCCCATCCGCCACAACCTCCGCCGCCCGCTGGGCCTCTTCATCTGCATGCGCGGCAAGCTGTCCGGTCCACTTCGGAAGGGGCAAGACATTCCCAAGCGCCTCCGTGTCATTGTTGTGAAAAATTAGAAAAATTGCGGAACTATCAGCAGAGCAACTTGCTGAACTATCGGCAGAACTTGCTGAACTACTTCGGAAGGGGCAAGACATTCCCAAGCGCCTCCGTGTCATTGTCGTGAAAAATTAGAAAAATTGCCGAACTATCAACGGAGCAACTTGAGTGCTGAACTATCGACAGAACTTGCTGAGCTATCAACATAACTTGCCGAACTATCAAAATCGACATAACGCAACTTGCTGAACTATCAACGTAACTTGCTGAGCTATCAGCGTAACCTGCTGAACTATCAGCAGAACTTGCTGAACTACTGCAATTTTCGAGGAGGGAACGCCTTCGAGCGAACAAGAAATGACCCAGCTGAGGTTCGAGGCTGAGTCCTGGAGAACAGAAACCAGCGCGCTACCGGCTGAGCTTCTTCGTAGTGAAGGTATGGAATGACTCGAGTGACGTGAAGAACGTCAGACAATTCTACGCAGCCGCCGCGACTGTAGCGAAATCCGCTGGCTTTTCGCTCACTATTGAGCTGACAGCTGGGCCATCTTGTCGCGTCAGTCTAGTCATGCAGTTAGTGTTAGGCTTGTCCTTGTGCCTCTGTCCTTGGAGGGGGGGCCTGTGGTTTCGGTATCGTGTGAAGTTCTTGTCTCAGGGCATGGAACCTGAGACCTCAAAGCGCTCGCGCAAGATGCTGACCATTAAGCTATGCTACATGGCTCCAAGTGCACAGCAGAAGGAGCATACTATTACAGGAGGGCCTACGGCTAGGCTAATAGTCTAGGGAGGGAGGCCCGAACCTTCGATAGAGGTGGCGCAGAAGAACAAGGCGAACGCCTAGACCGTTGAGCCGATTTCACTACTTTAGTGCGATGCTTGACGATTGCAATGTCATCACGAAGGTGCATGCTTTGGGGGTTTGTGTTCTTACCAGGAATCGAGCCAGCTTATTTCCAGACGATGAAGATTGTAGCGGACCTTACTAACCACTGCGCCAGTTTTACTGTCTTCAGAGTAGAGCACGACGATCACTATATCAGCGCACGAAGGTGGCCCAGGCTAAGCAAGTAACTCCCCTAAGGCCATGCGCCAGAGATCTTGACCGAGATGGGCTGAGAACTAGCAAGGCAGGGGCTACAAAGAAATCTACGTGGATTCACAGTATCACGCGCGGCAGTTGCGTCGTTAATGTCTTCGAGACTAGAACCCTCACAGATTGGCTAGAATATTTTCAGCAAGTGAATGTCTTGACCACTAGACCAAGCCTGCCAGCAGCTGATATGTTGAGGCGGTCGGCGTCATGTTTTAGCAGTCAAATAACGCGAGCGGCCAGAGGTGTGCCCTATTCTTGTGAACTACTGAGGCCACCCTTAGCGGCAAGGACCAAGAGCAAAATGGTCAGAAGCTAGGGAGTTTACGGCTACAAAGTTACTCAGTGGCATCATGCCCCACCGTGGTCAAGTAATACATGGGCGACAGCTGTCAGACCTATCGAACGAATGGGGCTCCAAGTAAACAGCCCCAGATCTCGAACCAACCTCAAACCCCGAATCAACCAGCCGCACCCCCCCCCCCCGGGCCTTAGGCTGGGAACCAACCCCAAGCCTCGAAGCTGCATTACACTCCGAACCAACCCCAAGGCGGGAACCACCCCCACTCTACGCCCCAGAGTAACCCTACACCCCCAACCAACCTTCAGCCCCAAACTGCCCCAAGATGAGACATCGCGTCGCCTGCCATTTAAAATGAACATCAAGGGAAGCGGGTTCTCGGTTCAGGGTTCAGGATTCAGATGGCCAATCAAGTCCCTCCCATATAGAAGGGACACCAAGGGGAGCCGGCTCTCGATTCAGGGTTCAGGATTCAGAGGGAAACCCGTCGGGCTACTAGTACGGAAGCCCTCTCGGAGAGTTGGAGCCTCGGGCTTTTAAAGTGCTAAACACCTCTAGAGTTTTCTTATTCATGTGGGTGCCTAGTAGTAGTAGTAGCAGTAGTAGTAGCAGTAGTAGTATTATTAGTGCCACTATTTCTATTGTTAGCATTAGTATTCTCATGCTCGTTGTTCTCGTTCAGGGTCATAACCTCGGCACGGTTCCCTTGCGCTTCTTGTCCACGGTTGTGCGTCACAGTTTCCGCCTCAATCTCTTGGTTCCCATGGGCTTGAAGAACAGGGCCATTCAAATCATGCTGCTCCTGTTGGTCGGGCTCGTTCATATTGATACCCTACATTAGAACCATCCCCCCATACGTCATTTTCTCCATGATTCATGTTCTCAGGTTCGCAGCGTGGAAACTGAGAACGCTATCAATCAAAAGATGGAGCATCAGGATCCGTAAGCTAGAATCTCTGGTCGGGCTTGTGAGTGTAGAAACCTTATGCATATTAGTAACTTCGGTGTTCCCTGTACTATCCGAATTGCTGTAGAAATCAATGTTGTTGTTCGTGTTCTCGTATACTTTCATTCTTATAAGGTAGTTTCGCTGTGTGCATTCACGTCCATGCTGTTCGCATGGCCCACGCTCACCGCATAACTCGCATTGATATTCATGCCGTCCGCCATTGAAGCTGCGTTCGTGTAGCTCTTCTGTTTCTGATTGGTAGTGTTATAAGTTGTTGTAGGAATGCTGGAAGATGGACGAACACTGTCGAAGTAGTGCCTTCTTGCAGTTGTAGTCCCCGAAAATGTCGGACCAAGGGGTGCTTTGCCGCTGCCATGTTGATCTGGATGGCGAGCTGTATCAAGATCTAGAGGCTGAGTAACTTGCTCAGCGGCTCTGTTGTTGTAGAACGCGCCTCCGAGTCCATTCGCAGAAGTGTAGTTGCATTCCTGCAGGTGCTGGGTGTAGGCCAGCCCTGCTGTCCAATCTTCTGCTCCTTCGATCGCTCCTGAACCAAGATAAGTCTCCGCGTTGTAATTGTTAACATCAGGATAGCTCAGCACGTTCTGATGTGACGCGGAAGAACAAGCTGCGGCAAATGCAGGCGTAGGAAATGCGGATGCTCCGTATCCATGATCGAAGGGACTCACTCCGGCAAGCGGTCCGAGTGCACCACCGGGAGGTACACCGTGAACGCCTTGGAGTCCTCTCGCCCCGGCACTTGTTGTCGCCAGCCAGTAGAGTAGGGGTGCAGAAGCTGGGCCGCCAGTAGAGTAGGGATCAGAATAACCATAGACGTCAGAGCTGTTATGAAGATTTCGATGATGAGCGCCAGCGATGCCTACACCAGAGGCACTTAGTACGGCACGAGGTTGATGGTAACTAATATCTATACGACGATGGGAAGGAGCGCGATGATCCTCTTCGTGTTGTAGTTGTACGTTTTGAAGTTCATCATCTAGCAGCTGGCGTCCCTGTGGTTGTTGCGCTAGATGTTCAGGACGTAGAAGCATACTTCCTCGGTCTACCCATGTAGTATTTCCAGATAGGTTATCCACTTCTCCAACATGTAGCTCATGACGTTTTTCTGGGCCTCTACTGCTTTGACTACCTGTCGCCGCCGGTCGTGGCATAGAACCTTCTTCGAGAAACAAACTGCTACCACCGTGCCCGCATCTCACAGATTGCGCTTGGGCGCCATCTCTGCTTGAACCTGGTGCAGCTTTATCGCCTAGCTCTCCTGCTCCGCCACCGCCTCCGGGAACTGGGGAATGATCGCGCTGATCGGTCGGGGAGGTGCTGCTGCGGTAGGCAGCAGGGGTGTACGGTAGCCAGCCAGCTGCTAGGCCCGCCGGGTTGGAATGTCGCAAGCCGCTCCTGGCAGCTCGACGACTCTGCGTGGGCGGTGGAGCAGGAGTAGGAGGAAGAACAGGAAAAGCGGAAGACTTCGGTGAAGTATCGACAAAGCGTGAACGCGGAATCACGCCCGTCGAGTGCGCCCAATGATTATACATGTTGAAGTCAAATATTACTACTCTTGGAAGTGATCCCAGCAAACTGAAAATTTTGAATGGCTTTAACTATTATACAACAGATCTACTTTCGTAAGTTAGTGACTGTTGTGCTAACTAGAAAGGTCTTGCTCGTAGAAAGAGACTCACTAGAGGCATCCCGTAGCCGTAAGTACGTATTATCCGCACTATTTCAACAAAGCAATTATAACCTCACGACTACTTTCTTAGACAAGACACGAAATAGATTGTAATCAGTTTCGTTGTTTTAAAGAAGACACAAGCCAATGCCTTTCAATTCAGTGGTCGACTTCGGCGGCTCCTGACAGGAGCTTTCGTGGCCGTGTCACAACTGTCGCGCCTACTGGAGTGAGAACGAATCCACGTCCTTTCGTCACTGTAGGGGGCGACTACTGTCAAGCGAGGTGTCAGGAGACTGCCTCGGAAAACAGGAAACTCAAAGGGCAGGTCGTCCTATTTTGAAAAAAGGTAAAGAAACTCCTCTAAATACTGCGAAAGTAGTTAGCAAAATACAGGTGGAGAGTGGAAAAACAAGAGTAACGCCATGCCGGTGTATAACAACTATAAGCAGTGCCCCAGATGTCTAGTAGTAGTAGTCAAATCCGACTCCAAGAGCTGGTCCTCCTTAGCCGTTCGTAGTCTGCCGCCTGCCGTAACTGCTATGGTGGTGAATTGGTTTGGAAAAAGCACTAAACGAACTACCAATTAGGGCTAGATATGAGGCTACCACCAGCAGTGGAGGCTTGACTTACATGCGAGTCTATAATCTAACTCTAGATTTGCTTTGTAGGCTGCGGATAAACCTATGAGATTATTAGGCCATAAAAGCTACTTCAATATCAAGATCTTCTTGCCGATACTACAGTTTTGGTTTTCTTCTTCCTCTAACAATCCTCTCTATCTTTACGATCAATTCATTCATTCATTCGTTCTCACAATTAGATCTGTGTGGTTTTTTTTTCCATAGAAGAACTACATGCTTCCTCCCATTTAAACAATCAACTCAAATTTTCTTTACATCCTTACATACCGGGGGAGCACGAGACCGTAAGCCAACCACGTGGGCCTTGTTTTTTAAAAGTTTTATCAACGCAAAAAACAACAGAAAAGCTAGTGAAAGAGAGAAGGAGAAAGAGGAGCGAAGATAAACTTTAGCTGGAAGTCAGACAAGTGGAGGAGGTGAAAAAAAATCGAGAAAAACTGATGACGGATGCAGATCTATAACCCGTAAATATACTTCACTAGAACTACCTCGAGAGCGGGGCAAGATATATATATAACTGATGAGTTGCTCCGATCAAGTTTTTAGTGACGAAGAGAGGACGATGGCGATCGCGATCACGAATGTATTCACAAAATTTTCGAGCTGGCGTGGACAAAAAAGCGGACTAGCTAATGACACGACCGCACACTACAGGGGTGACGCCAAACCACGCGAGTGGTCGTAGGGGAATCAGCCTACCAGTGTGCACAACTGCTGCTACTGAAGACAACGAACTGCAAGCCTTAGGATACAGCTACGTCTGCACAAGAACATGTTGTTGGTAAAGTAACATTCGCTTACGCAATTTCTAGCTCAAAATTACACAATTAAACCCAAGTGAGTCATTCATTCATTCATTTACCTAGCACGAGGTATAAGTTCAGAACATAATGAGAATGCATCATAAAGTAAACAGAGGCAGGCTTTTAAAAAAAACTTCAGCGCCTGTTCACCTTTTTAACTTTAAAAACACAGTGCTTAACTAAGTGCTTTCTCCGTGGTCATCTTCTTTCGAGAATTTTTTCCCCCCTACAAGTTTTGGATTTGAAATGTGAGCGAACAAAAAAGACCGTGCTGATAGTTGATTACAGTAAATCAATAGAGTGCAGCAAAGTGCTTAGCCAAGATGTTGGCCCATGTCAATCACTCCCATACGAGACCAAGTCCATTTGTGATACCCAATCACCTGCTTCTTAGACCGTGGCGCAACCATGGCCGTGATTACAACAGAGATTTCCGTAGATACGACCCACGAGACATGACAACAACCGCGTTGCCACTGTGCAGCAAGCGGCCAAGTAGTAAAAAAGTTCACCGGAAACTGCTCGCGGGCCAACGCCTGATCTTGATCTTCATGCGGTAATCCCAGATCCATTGGAGAGCAGAGCGCTAATTCCCGAGACGGATCTTTTGGTCTTGGAATCGTCTCAACACAGACCACACACCAGGGAGCGCACACGAGAGGCTGACCTTCAAACTGCTGTGCCCGATGATAAACACAGGAAACTGCGGGCACTTGCGTCTGTCCTTAGGACGCGTCAAAATTCGACGCAGTATTTGACACGGACGTTGCTGGAAACCTTCGAAAGTAGATGTTCCGATCAACTATATCAGCAAAACTCTTGATGTTGTGACAACAACTGCTTTCTTCGATTCGTTCAAAAATTGAAAAACGTCAATGTCTCGCAGTTTCTGCAATAAACCTTTTATCTTCTTGCTGTGTCCTCAGTTTCAACAGTGCATCGAGCTGATCCCCAAGTAGTGCAGCATTGTGATTGCGCGCATCAAAAGAGTTTACTTCTAACGAAATACAAGTGTGCTCTTTAGATGACATCACTGCTGAAGATGCGTGCCCAGTCGTGACGAGCGGAATATTTTTACGACTTGTTGACAACTTCATGCTCTTCTTGCCAGACGAAGATGATAAATTCTCATCCTCCACAACACTTGTTTCTCGTTGCTCAGTCATGCTTTCCTCGTCTAAGTCGCCACTTCGTGAGGGAGAAATCCGTGAACTCTCCACCTCGTCGCTAGAAGTCGTCGCGGCTTCCGCTTGATCGGAGGTGCTCCTCGCACTACCTCCCACTGCTCGCCCTCGCCGCAAAACGCGTGTACTAGTCCTAAGTCCCCAAGTTCCGCGGCGGCGACTGACGCATTTTTCACCCACGATGTCGACTAAGCGAGTCCGCTCGGCGCGCGTCAAGGACGGAACATCTGCCGTGTCGAAGGTCACGCGCATACTTTTGAAACTCTGAGAGTCGTACTTATTCGGCTCCGGATCTGGCGATGCGTCGGCACTCCAGTACACTTTGTAGCTCAACAAGTGCGGAAATGGAAATCGAGTCTCCAAGCTTGTCCGAGGCAACGTGGCCTCCTGCTGCAGAGCTTCAAGATCAGTCAGCTGAGGCGTGTCGAGGTGCGAAACGTCCGCGTCATCGTGAGTCAATCCGGCAAGACGAAGCATGCGATGCTTGTGGCGGAGTGTAAAGTCCTTTGACCGGCGATAACTGAAAAAGGGCGAGTCATGTAGTTATTGAAGGTGGAAGTCCTTTCTGATTCCTGAAGTATCAAAGTTGTTTACAGTTCGCAGTAACACAGAAATAGATGAAAGTTTCTCATAGGTACCTTGCAAATGTGGAAAACTAGCCCATAGAAAGTTCTGTTCTAGCAGTGGTCATACCAAAAAATAGCGAGAATCGTATTTACTGCATCTCTTTGCCACCCTCGCCAGAGAAACGATCTAGATATTGATTGATGTTTCGCGCAATAGAGTAGGGCGTCTCGGGTCCGCGCAAAATTCGATCTTCTAAGCGTATTTGGCAGTTGAACTGGTCTTCCCGCCGCATCTCCTTCAACTCCGGAGGCCGATCAACTTGGCGAATACGCTTCTTCCTTTTTCCGCGCTTGAATCGTACTTGCTGCATGGCAAATCCAAGCGGCTGTGGCAAAAGTATCGAAACATCTTCTGTATTCTTAGACAATGCCGACAATCGAAGTCCTGTAGTGCCAATGGCAGCAGCAGAGGAAGTGGCTTTTGATGCAACCACAGAAGAGGAGACGGAAAGCGCGAATGGACGAGGAAACATATTTTTTTCGTACTTAAATGGAGTCGAGTTCGAAAGATGCAAAAATTCAAAAACGTCCTCGAGGAGGCGATTACCTCATCTAGTTCGATTCACTCCGCAAAAACAAATACCAGCGGTGACGGTAGATCCATTTGATACCCGAGCATCTTCCGGCACATGGATTACGGGATATTGTTCGTCTTGAGGGAGAGCTGAGTGAGAAACCGATATGATGATCCATGAGCATCGGCATCGCCGATATTAGATACGTCATCAAGCACATTTCTTAGGTCCCGAACAACAGTCAGAGCCTCTGTGTGTCGATTCCCGCTGGGCACCCGGAGATGCTTATTTACGACTTTGCGCCACGTCATCTTTCCAGCGTCGTTTTTGTTGGGTAAAAGCATCAAGTATGCGTACTAAGCCACCTTTTCTATAAAAAGCAATAAACAACTTGCGTTCTCTCTAATGCGTAGGTAGAGCTGCAGAGGGGAATATTAATGTACGAATTCACCAAAACACAACACAGCTTTGAAACGAAAAAGACAGGTTGTTTATCCACCACTCAAAAACCTCCGAAATCTTCGCTCTGTGGTGCTTTCTTCTTTTTCCTCTTCCCCCCTGCTTGATCTGGGCTCGCTATTGTCGGTGTGTCACTACTCCTACCTATCGCTGGGTTTCGTGCTCCTCCCACAGGTGGTGGCGCAAATTGTGCTTCTGGTGGTGGAGCGCCGTATCCGCTTGGTGGAAGGTGTTGCGGTCCGCCGCCACCGTATCCTGGAGAAGGCCCGCCACCGTATTGACCAGCAGGTGGCGGTCCACCACCATATTGACCTGCGCCTGGTGGTGGTGCTCCATAATTCCCTGATGGTGGTCCAGCATGTTGTGGTGGCTGTGCCAAGTAGTTCATTGGAGGAGGCGGAGACTGTTGACCCCATGCACTCGCCTGTTGCGCAGGAGCCATCGGCGAGTTGTAAGGCGAGGATCCTGGGCTCACACCGTAAGCGGGTGGCCCACCGCTCGCATAGCTAGGTTCTCGACCTGGAAGCGCGAATCCACCTCCTGGTGTGTTCGGAGAATAACCGCCACTCGGTGGTTGATAGCCACCACCTCCTGGAGGTCCTCCATACTGCGGCCCCCCTTGAGGTCCTGGCGGCATACCCTTGCCTCCTGGCATCGCTCCCGGTGACGGACCACCTCCTCCGCCCATTGAGGATCCCATGCCTGGCTGTTGCATCCCACCTTTCATTCCACTACCTGGATGTGCACTACTGCTACTTGATGCGCCTCCTGGACCGAATTGGGAACTTCCTATTCCCATTCCGACTGAAGAGCCTGGCGGCGGACCACTACCTTTGTTCTGAAAATCGCCGGCAGATGGTGGCCCGCCAAAACTAGAACCGGGTCCGCCCATGGAGCCTCCAGCGAACGAGCCAGGTGCATCTGGTGGCGCGAGATTCGACCCGAGTCGGCCTGGACTCATCACGCTGTCGCGACCTCCTTCCCGCCCGGCCTGGATTTTCAACTGCGCACCTTGCTCGCGCAGAAGCGTCAACACTCTCTGAAGATCGTCGAAGGCTACTGCATACAGTTCAGCGAGTTCCGAAATGAGATAGTTCGCAGTTCGCACACGATTTTCGATGATATCCTTCAAATCAAAGTCCACATCGCGAGTCACCTTATCGTAGGCCGTTTTGTGTCCGTTTCGCTTGCCCTCATTGCGATGGATCTTCGTCACGAGACCGTCAATCCTGACAGATGAGAAAGGTTCATCTTGTTTTACACTCAACTTAAGAAAATTCCTTGGAATCTTGTTCCTCAGGAGACTCACGCATCAATCATTTTCTATTTCACATCTTCCGCTGTTCAATGTCATCAGGCGTTCAGCAACATCTAATACTGCTCAAATCTAAACATAGCAGCTACCTTTGTTGATTTCCTGATCTCTGTACATCCTGCAACTGCTCCTTCAGTTTCCGTAGCTTCTCGTCGTAATGGTTTAGGAGGCCTTGTAACTTATCCATTGAATCCAACGCAGCAAACACCGTCTGATTTTTCTGAGACGCCTGCCCTGCTGAGTCTCGAATGTGCTGCAACTGGAGCGAATTTTCAATTTCAGGATCATAGGATACACAGAGTCACGAAAATTCAGTTGCTGTTGAGATGAACTTCATAGGCGTCTCATTACATTGTTCATCCTCTCTCCTCAACGAGAAGAGAATTCAATCCTCAGTAATTGTTGAGCACGTAAAAATCAATGAATACCACTTCTTCCGCTTTGTTGTAGCGCTGCGCGAATATCTCCAACAGGTCCTTGATAGCCACTACATTCGTTCTTGCTGGCATTCCTACCGGATAGAGACTATCGCAAAGCTGAAAATGATAGGGATTACGAGTGATTGATGTGCATTCGTGACATCGCGCTGGGAAGATCAAAGAGTAAAGGCAATTTTCTCCAATAGAAATTGCAGACTCACCTGAAAGAGATTATCGTGTAGCGTGGCCAGCTTCTGCATCGACATTGAGAAGTCCTGCGCGGTTGTCAAAACAGTTGAGATGAAGCGATCGAACTCTGTAAGCGTCGACCGCTCCCCATCGAAGGCATTTGACCGTCTCGGCACCCCGAACATCTTCTCCTTCATGTTCCGAAAAAACGCTCCGTTAAACATCTTCGCGTAGTTCTGTGGTTACAAACTCCGAAAAGTACGAGCAGAGACCGACGACCGCAACAACGGAGGGCAGTGGAGTCCGCGGAGAATAACTTCTAGCGTCTGGATCCGTAACGCAGTGTCGCAGGCAAAAGACTGTTTGATCCCGCCGTGTCCCCAGTGAAAGGCTGCGTTCGATGAAATATGTGGTTGGAGTCTCATTCCAGATTTGAACACTCCGCTTTCCTTTGACCACGCAGTCCTACCGTGTTCTCGGGTACTGGAGTGGACCGTTGTGACGAGAACCCCTTCAGGTTTCGACAAAATCTAGCCCACATGTACTTCCGAAGCGCTACAGCAAATCGTTTCTAGCCAGGAGCACCAGTGAAAAAAAAGCTGACTTACCCCCGACGCAGAAAAATTGACTGCAGACCGTTCGCAAGTCGACGAAAGCTGCTTGTTATACAAGGAAGAGATTTTCCTCAGGACACTTGTTCAACATAGTAGAGCGACCAAACCATTTACTGTCTTCTGGGAGTCATCGAAGTTTCGCTGAACAGAAGGCGATTACACCTGCATCGGTAGCCGCTAGTGATCTTCAAAATGCTTCACTGTACTTCGCAAAGAATTAAGTACCATTGAAACGCTACGGAGGTTGTCCCATAGGTATAAGCTAAATCTGCATACAACAAGGAGGTAACGATAATGGGGTGATAATCTTCGCAAACATATTCAGAAAATCAACACCAAGGTGAATATTGGGGTTGCGAGTTGTGCTTTCACGGGGGGTATTGTCCCAAAAATAACAAGATGTTGTGGTCTCTGTTGGTTTTATACCTCACAGAAATGAGTCTTACAACGAGGACTACCTTGACCGATCGATATCCGACAGCTCGAAGCGTGGTCGCTCGTGGCAGAGGGGAAGACCTCTCGTAGCGCACACTCAAGGGACGAAGCATTTCGTAAACGCAGACTCACGACTAGACGGAGACTCATCACGCAGGAGCGATAAAACAGAACATCCCTGGACTACTGATGATTCAAAGTTTTTTTACAACGCGGGTCAACCATCTCCCACCTGCAGGCGAGCCCCCGCGTTAGAGTAAGTATTTACATAATGTAGGCTGTAGAAGACAGTAGAAGCTTCACGTGGTCGATTGAATTCGGGTAGCAGAACAAGCTCAGAAACTTAGACGTGTGCGTATGTTCCAACAACTTCTTCGAAGGCAGGAATAAACATTCGCTGTAGCGCAGCCTCTTCGCAGGCTACACTAGCTGCGTCCCTATTCCAGCAGTTGTGAATATGGAAGTGACTGGCTCCAAAGCGTTGATTCGTTCTTCGAGCGTTTTCGTCAGGTCTTCCTTCTGCGACCGACTGGACGGAAGCAAATTCCGCTTCACTTGCCATAGCCGCACTGCGCCGTCGGTATTTCCAGCTGCATAGAGTTGTCCGCCGCCCGCCGGCTGCTCCACATCATTACTTCCCCCTCCTGTTGCGCCGGCGCCGCTCCGCCGCAAGGACTCCCAGCAGCCACAGAAGAAGGAGTTCTGCGACGCAGAGGGCTTCACCGGTGCATTCTTCACCAGAACCGGAGAAGCGGACACACCTCCGGGTTTTAGAGATGCTTGCTGACCTGCAGTGCATAATGCTGGATGCTCCATGGACTCGTTCAAATTCCAGATCTCTAACTGTCCTGAGGCGTCCACAGCAGCAAACACAGCGGGGTGGTCGGGATGCCACGACACGTCGGTGACAAAATCACTAAAGTGTTCTAATCTCAAAATCGGTGCCTGGAACCGCTTTGGCGCGTAGAGGTTAACGGCCCAGTCGAAACCGCTAGAAAGCAACAAATCTGTCCCCGTCGAAGACGCATCAGACAGACACTGGTTTAAGCCCACGGAGGATACCTTTGAGGCAAATCATCTCAACGTGAAAAATCAGTCGAGGTCGTCTGAGATGAACAAATCCTGAAGGACGAGCATCTTCGAGAATCATGAGTAGTCAACGCACGTCTACTCCTGCTTGTCACGAATCTGAAAACCTCGGACGAATTTAAATTAAATCTTCACGGAAGACAATTCATCAATAGAGTACTACCAGAGCCTGGTGACCCTCCAATGCGTCTGTGACGCCGCTTTTTGTTTGATGAATTTGACACTGGCAGATGCTGCCGTCCTCCCCCCCAACCCATAGAGTGTCCTCCGATGCGAAAGCCAGGGAGTTGGCAACTACTTCTCGAGAACCTCTCTTCAGTTCAACGCATTCCTGTTGTTGTTTAACTTTTCATTTTAACTAAAATGATCTACGTGTGTGTAGGACACGAGAGAACAGTTTCTTCCTTCCTAAAAGAAAAGAAAATTGAAGATTCAAATGATGATCGACAAAAGGAACATCAAGTAAGTACCTGTGGGTGCACTAGCATCTGCAAGTTCCACACACAGAGCTTGCCATCGGTTGATATTGAAACGAGCTCCGCACCGTGTGTTTGCTCCATCGCGTACACGGGATGTGAGTGGCCTCTTTCCGACACTAGGGGGGTGCGCTGGGTCTGTTATGAAGGAGAATGTGCGCTCAAACATCATCAATGAATTTTTAAGTTAGGTCATTCTACTGCAGGCAAACATTTATTCAATCAGTATCATGCAACTGCAAGTATACTCGAAGTCGAACTGACAGAATCACTTGTAAACAGTAGTTCGTTTACATCGATATTGCTTTTCTCAGGAAAACTACCGGCGCCCGCGACGTTGTTCTGCTGTCCCACAAGACGATACTGCCGGAGTAGGTTGCGCCGAGATAGACTGCTGGATTCTGCTTGTCGAATTTCGCCGTCAAGACTTGAGAGCCTGCTGTGAACACAAACTCAGGCCTCCCCTGCAGCGCCAAATTCCAAACGCATACGACGCCTTCTTCCTCCGTTATGCTCGCATTGTCCCGCTTGCCGTAGCTTGCACAGAGCAGTTCAGGATAGTGCTGAGACCAGTCTAGATCGGTCACGCAACGCCCGGTCGTCCATCGCTCCGAGTCGAAGAGCCCTACTTCCCGCAAGTCATCTGCATCCCGGTCGCCCTTCCGCTTTCCTCGGCCCTCGTCCTCACGGTAGTCCCGGTCGAAGTTTCCTAGGCCTGCCCCCGCAGCGCCGCTGGCACCCCTCAATAGCACCGAGCGCGCATCGGACGCTGACAGCAGCTTCTCGACCATCTTCGACGACTTGTCAAAAAAGCTCAGAAAATCGTTACTCCGCAAAATATTCTGTTTCTCCTCCTCCGACAGATCCTGACTCCGCTTCGGCGACCCAGCCGGAGATCCACCGGCGTCTGCAGCTCCTGCAGTTGTTGATCCCACGGCCGCACTGAGCATCGCTCCTGGTACTGGGCTCGTGCCACGGCTTACAGCCGATTGCCTCGTCGCGGGGCCACGCGTATCTGAGGCAACAGCCGGACCACCTCCCGCCATCGCGCTCTCATCGCCATCCACGTCACTGCTTGAAGAAGAGCGCGACAGCACTGTCTGTATCTCCTTGTCGTACACCTCACCCTGCTGCACGGGAAATATATGCACTGCGTCATCTGGCGTTCCCCGATTGACTTTCAGAGTCGCTGGCCTGTGCAGCTTCGGTCTCTGCCCAGCGCCGCCTACTTCCACGTCTCCAGCGTTCAAACCCGGTAAGAGTTCGCTAAGGACTTCTATGTACGACTTCTTTCCGGAGGTCGACTGAAATTGCCGGGTTTCCCTTGAAGCCGGTTCCGCATCACGCGTGCTCTGCCTTTGCGCAGACGAGCGTCGTAGCTCTTCAACCTTTCGCTTTTGCTCCTCGAGCTGTGTTTTGCGCGCAGCCTGCAGCGCTTGCAACTGAGAGATACGTTCTTGCGTAGAGGACATCCTTGCATTTGAGTCTGTCAGTCTCTATCCTAACTTTCAATCCAGGTCAATCCGACGTGAGATAAAAGGTTGAAAAAGACATCATATCAACCCTCAAATAACGTGCTGCGTCGAAACCCTTAAACGACAAAAATTATCATCAGGCACGTAGTTGGCGTGTGTCAGTCCAGCTATGGACTTATAAGGCAGTCCTTTTCTTCGGTAAAGATATACGCTATTTCATCTAACTATAGTGTGTGTGATTCGCGAGCGGAAAGACTTCTTCTTTGTTCCCGATCCAAAATCAGCTACGTTGTGCAGGTGGATCCTTTTCACATAAATTCGTTGTTCCACTCCCGTTAGGTACCTTATGTTGGTGCAGAACAGACGATCGGCAACTGAAAACAGCATAGTGTCCAGTGCCGGAAGGCGATAGTCACGAACCAAGATGCGTCTCGCTGACTTCTGTAATTGTTCTTTAGACAGTATTATCAAGACATACTCAATGAATCAGATTACAAATCAATTGCGACCGGCTGTCGGTGCTCTGCGTGTCCTAAGTCCTCCACCAGACCCGGCCCCACGCGCCTGCGGCCTGGACTTTATGAGTTGGACGACCTCGTCTCTGACGGCAGGATTTGTGAAGAAGTAACATGCGGAGTTCATAAAGCCTTGCAAGCCCCCAAACATCACTGTCAGAAAGTCTAGCACGTAGAGCTCCACCCCAAACATATTCGCTATCCGGTTTAGTGTACCAAAGGACCAGCAGAATACCAGAAGCAGCGGAAAGTAGAGAAGCCGCCTCAAATTCATCAACTGAACTTTCTTCAGATGGTCAACCTCGCTTTCCTCCAGCTGCATTCTCCGTGAAGATGAAGAAGAAGCAAGCGCCTGTGGCAAGTCACCTGGAGGATCATTCCTCTGAGTCTCACGAACTCTTTGTGATTGTGTCTCTCCCTCTCCTCCATCCTGACCAAAGGCGTTAGAGGATTCTCCTGGACGAATAGGTCGCCCCACGACTGTCATATTCACAGAATCATCTGCGCCTGTTGATGCGGGACCCTTCGCATTCTGGTGTTTGTAGGCTGTTGACGAGCTACTCCCGCCTTGCTCGTCTGATCGAGACACTGCGCTAGACGTAGGGTTTTGCGCATCTTCACTCCCATCTCCATCGCTAGATGCACTCCCATTTTCGCCTGCCCTTACAGGCTGTGCTGTCATCTCCGCTGCCTCCTCAGCGTCGTTTAGCACCATGCGTGAGACCGGACCACTGCTAGCAGTACCAGTAATTACGCCGTCGACAACTTGTATACGCTGGTCCACGAGAGAGCTTGCTAAAACCGCAACCGCCGTCCCAGGATCGCCTCCTATCGTCCCACTCCTCGTGTCATCTTGTTCGTCATCTATGCTACTAGACATGCGTTCTCCGCCTAGCTGTGCTGCAGTACCTGTGCTCGTCTGCAACGTCACGCTCTCCCCAGCCCGCGCTAGACTCGTTAAACTCCCATCTTGGTCTTCTAACAACAGTCGGAGTCGCGCCGTCAGCGCGAAATAGACGTAAATGTTGTACAAGGAGGTGATCCACAATGGCACGTAGAACACGAAAAATCGCAGAGCACTGCCGTAACTGCTCCGCCCCTGAATCCAGCACCAAAAACCAGCTGGACCATAGGCGTGCGTGATGAAAACTAAACCCGTAATGGCCAGCGGAACGCCCCAACACACTTTATGGAGCTTCTCCTCCATCTCTGTCTCCTTGAAACTGCTACTGCTGTGACCGCCAAACAAAATCGCTTGCAACGAAAAACTAATCGCTGAACTCCATCCAGATTAGAACATAATCCTGAGCACAACTAGCTCTAATTGTTGTTGTCAGTAGAAGTGACTCACCTCATGCATCTCGTGCCCTAGAATTTCGTTTACACGGATCATGCAGCAGGAAGATAGTGCAATTCTGATTCTACATCTACCGTGTAGCCGGACATCAAACATAAATCCGTGGTCATAAAGAAAGCTGGAGAGGCTGAAGAATGTGAAGAACAAGCTCTGAACCATACATCCGCTAGACGTTGGATTCGGAAAATGGCCTATTATTTGCGCACACGCCAGCCACATATCTGCAATCGCGACGTACAAGATCATCCGCGTGAAGAATTTTCTCAAATGCGGAAAAAATAAAAATCCCCCAATGACCTGAAGATACTCTCGTTGTTGTAGACAAAAATCGCATACAACCTAGCTGCATGATTTGTAGAAAAGACAAAACTAGAAGGATCAATCTTTGCGAGGAGAAGTCTAAAGACTCAACTAGTGGTAGAAGGACAAAACAAATGCTTCAAAGCTGAAAATCAATTATTCAAAACATGAAGAAAAATCTCTTACCAGCATGCAGGACACCATTGAGAGCGCAGAGACCAGCAGGTTGACGGACCGCAACAGTGGGTACTCTTCAGCCACTGCCGGCACCATAAGAAACCGCAAGTCTGGCTCAAACATCGACATTCTTGCCAAATCTCTGATACAACAGGATCTTGATTTTTAGTGATGATCGGATATTGGAATTTCTTTTCCAATGACGTTGTAGGCGCCCTCTGTCCTCGTCCTGGGCCAGGGCAGATCCCGTACTGCTGAATCGATTCACCGCCAGAGGGTGCTTTCTGCTTGACGAACTACCCCACTGTACTCGGATGGCGGCACAAAAGAACAAAACTACTTCGTTCAATTTTCCCTGTATGTCGCCCTGGTCCTCGGTCCAGCGCTCTAACAGGGTCTTCCATAACGTGAAAGGCGTAGACTCCATGTAGAGTTAGCCATCCAAATTCTGGGAACCTCATGCATATCAATTTTTAGCTCGTGATATCATGGTCATCCAAATTCTGCGAATGTCATGTCTCATTCGGTACATTTCATGCAATGGATGCGAACGTCGTATGCGTACGTCACATGCGTGGACGGTCCCACGGCGTCAATTTGGATCTGCTTGACAAAAAAATTTAATTCGTCGGAATTGCAAAATTTTTAAGGAGCAAAACGATTAGTAATCGAAAAAGAGGAATGCAATTATTAATCATGCACTGTTCTTAAAGAAGGCTCCCCGCGATCCCCCCCGGAATGAATTATGAAAAGCAAAAATGCATTTGCATAGACAAACTCCCAGAACGACGTGGCGCGTGTCGCAGGTATTCTACACCTTTACATGAAGATTCTAACTAGCCAGCAGCTAATTCCATGTCGTTTGTACGCAAAAATAAAAGAACTAAACTTGGCAATAATTATCTCTATTTTTGACTATTCCTATCTTTTCTAATCTCTAATTCATCAGGCGGCAATTTCTATCTTAAACGTAGGAAAATTATAAGTACTTGAAGGGTCTACGAGTGGTTTTGGCTTCACAAATCGCTTCCAGAAGAACCTCAGGGTCCTCCTTCTTCACCAATCGGTTCCAGAAAGTTGAGTACTGGCGCGCCCCGCAGTAATGGCTTCTTTTTCATGGGTCCCAGCACTCGCGGTTTCGTCCAATTCGGTAGACTCGAACCTGATATGTTGTCAAATTCAAAAAAAAATTGGATTGCAGGTGGTTGAAATAAGTACTAGACGTAGATCAACACTTGTGCGTGATCGGGTTCTTCGATATGAATAAATCGTATTTCGAACATCTTTCAGATCAAAACAAAATGGAAAGTTTACCTCGCGCTCCGCTGAAGTGCTGCGGCGGCGGGCGCCCGCTTCCGTGTGGCTGCAGCAGAGGAACGCCGGGTATCCTCTTCTCTAGAATCGCTTTTTCGACGAACAGATTTTTTGTATCGATCTGCAGTCCAGGAAAATGAAATCCAGCAGCCGATGACGGTGATATCTTCTTCATTTCTTCTTGGTCACCTTCTCTCGTCGTCGTCGTCGTCGAATGTTCTTGTTCTTGTTGATCTCGTCTACTAGTAGTACCATTTTGTGGTGGCCCAGAAAGAGAGCTGCGTGGAAAAGTGCCTTCGGCAACACCAACGTCCCCTTCAGCAACAACCCGCCCATCTTCTCCTGCGTTGCGGCCTACGCCGTGGCTCGGTCTGAGAGAACTAGGTTCTTTTTCGAGTGTTGGCGTTACATTGAGGTTCACTACGGTGTCGAGTGCTGGAGGCACGGAGCGGGACTCGACTGACCGGCCGCGAGCCTTCAGACGACTGTCGGGGCCAAAGAGCGATGATTGTTTTTCTAAGCTCCACCCACGCCTAAAAGACTGTGCTCTTGGTACCTGCAAACTGCTACCCCGCGTCGCGCTAGCAGTACCCGAGGACGACGTAGTTGCGCCACCAACTACAGAATGCGAACCCAGTCCTGTTGTGCCGGGATCTAAGACGAGGCTCTGAGCACCATCACCTCCTGCATTTGGTGCTCCACCTCCATGTGACTCTGTCCAGTCTCCAGTTGTTTGACCGCTTTGCCCGCTACCCGAGGACGCGCCGCCGACACGCAGCAGCCTCTCCAAGTGCTCTTGATTTGCTGCCAGAGACTCTTCGACGGTTTTCAAAAGGTCCTCTGATTGCACGCCTTGCGAAGACTGTCGGAGGGTAATATGCTGCTGCAGCATGCTGTGCACGTTATTCAGCAGCTCCTGCAAGCGCTCCGGTCTGTACTTCTTGTGATCGCGCTGCGTGGGCGTAGTCTGCCGATGCTGCCCCGCCGAGCCACAACTACTGTCCGTCGTGTCGATGCACAGCTGTGGGCGACAGCTAGAACCGGAGGAACCTCCAGAAGTAAAGTTTCCACCCGTTGTCGCCGTAACGGCGGCTGTTGTCGTCACTGCAGTGGAGGTGCCTCCTGCCGCCGTACTACTTGCACCTACTGCTGGCTCTGACTCCATCCCAGCACTGATCGTTTCACTACCTGATGCCTGCGGCGCAGCACCTGCGTTGAGGACAATGTGGCTTTGACTCTGCCGCCGTCCCTGTGCTGGAGGCACAGCGGCCGTCGTAAAAGGACTGCTACTGCTGGAGCTGCTAGTGCCGCTCGCCACATTTCCACAGCTCTTCCGACTTGTTGTTTTGAAGTTCAAACTCAGGTTTTGAAACTGAAGCAAATTTGTTGCTACGCCGCTGGGACCAGCGCTAGAGGTGCCAGAAGCTGACACGACAGGTCCTGTACCTTGGCTCCCACCACCTGGAGGCTTAGGCGCTAAATTTATGCCAGTACAATTCGGCGAGGACACACTTATTCTTGGCAGGTTTGCCGGCTTCAGACCCTTCTTCAACAGAACAGGTGACTCCGGTGGCGAGGAGGGGCTACTCTTGGTCTCCTCTGCTCCATCATCATTTCCGGAATCTCCCTGTCCTCTGCCGGGAAGCAAACTGGTTGTGTTTGAGCTTGTACAACTTGTGGAGCTTGTAGTGGCACAGGTGGCAACAGTTTCCTTACTTATGCTCATGGAGGGTAGATCCGTTGGTGGGAAACTGCGGTCCCCAATTTTACATGTTCTCTGTCCGGAAGGAGGGGCCACAGTTCCACCAAGACTTTTTCCCGTAGCGCCACGACTGGGTATCGATCCTCGCGCTTGTTCCCAGCTAGTGTTCGCCGCTTCTTGCTCTGAATTTTCTTGTTCGCGCAGACTCGTCGGCGAGGAAATGCGGCTGCTCGTAGTTCCCAAACGACGGTTTCCACCTCCGATATTTTTGGCACGCAACTGCTGCTTTGCCTTGCTCACGGCAGCACTCAGCAGCCCACTCGTACTTTTCGATGTCGGCGCCGAACTCGGACCACCCGCTCCTGCATCCACTACTCCTGCCCCTAATATGCGTGGCGACTTGATCTTTCCGAGCGGCTCCATAGACAGCGTTGGCGACGAAGTCATGACGGCGGGTAGCGTCATCGTGGGCAAGACAGGCGCTGACACACCTACCGGAACGCCGCTGCGTGGCGGTGCAACATGTGTCCCCGTTTGTGCGCATGATCGTGGTGACATTCCGCCAGCCGCACTCATCCCAACTGGATGATTTGCGCCTGCCCCTGCACTGCTCAACCCTACCGCTGCAGCAGTAGTACCAGTAGCGCCGTATTGCGGAGCGCACGGAGTCGGTGATGCGGCATTGGGCCAGCTTCCGAAATGTGAGGAACCACCACCCCACCCGCCAGCGACACCGGGATAAAATGGCGGCGCTGCAGTATGGGGAAAGCTGCTAGCTCCGAGCTGCGGACCCACATGGCTGCTCCAAGAACCAACATTACTCGAGACACCACCAGCACCGGCTCCCCCGTAGGCAGGAGGCACAACGGCCCAATTGCTCATCCAAGGAAAATGCCAAGAAGGTGCGGCTCCCCCATGCGCGAAGAATGGGAAAAAACCGCGCTGCATTGCGCCTGCCGCAGCTGTCTCGAGTGCTGCGCTGCCTTGGAGATCCTCACCTAGATCATTGTCGGTTGGAAAACCGACAGAACAATTCGAAGACACTGCTGGTGATACCATTCCGGACTGGGACCTAAATGTCGCGTGAACAGCATTCATTATTGTTTCCGATCGATGCACCATTTTTTTATCCACTTATTATAAGATAAGTAAAGGTGAGTACTAGACTAACATTCGTGCTCGTGAAGTCCACTCCACTCAAATGAATTAATTAGAAGAGCCATTATTCTCGGAGAAAGTTGCAAGAATCGACCATCTTCATCACGCACACACAGCACGCTTAGTCCTGCCTCGATGATGGTACCTGCATGACGATAAGAGCATTCCGTCGATTTCAGCCCGACCCGAGTTCCTCAGGAAAGGGTCTTGTAGTCGTAGTGTGATCTCGTCGATGACCGCCTCAAAGCCCGTTTCCGTCACTGAGGACCGCTGCTGACTATCCTGAATAGCCTCAAAAAGTGAATTTCGTCCGAAGACGAACTGAGGCCCGAACGGTCCCCTTCCGGATTTGTATACCTTCGAAAAAGCCGCCAGGCACTGAGCGTAATCAGCATTGAGAATCGCAACGAATTGCTGCTGCTCTATCCCGGTTGATCCGCCCTGACCAGAAGAAAGTGCCTTTTTCGAGCTACAACCCTCTCTGGTCTTCGCTGCGTCTTCCCCGACACCTCCTATTGCACTCTCACGTCCAAACTTTTCGCTCGTCACCTGACTATTTCTTAGCTCTTCTGCCGATGAAACGGTAGGGTCTGCGACTAGCACGGGAAGAAACTCGCTGTCGCTGTCTTCGCCTGGGCACAAAGGCTGGCTAAGCCGCTTCTTCGCTGCTACACATATGTGCATCCAATCAAATACGGCTCCGCGCTTATAGCTACGACCACCGTAGGGTCGCTGGTGCTGCTTGTAGCCAGGTGTCCGTCGCTGCTGCTTGCTCAGCAAGTACGAAATGCACTGTCTGGCATCTGAGAAGGCCACTACCTGTAGAGAGAGTGTCCGCGGTTCCTGGTGGCTCTTGTATGGCGGTGTATCTTCAGCTTCTATTCCCTTCCTCGGCTCACCAGCGGCACTATTCCTCCCGGTTGCTGGAAGCGAACTGCTACCCGCATAATCAACGCTGTCACTACTGCTACCGACCGAGCTCAAAGCAGAGGCACTCGAAACGGGAAAAACAAACTGCGACTGCCGTTTCGAAAATTTGAATGCTAGGCTCACCTCATGCTGGGTCGCTTCACTTGCTCTACTGATGGCTGTTCCACTATCGCACGCTGCAAGTTCCTCAACCCCTCTGTCCGGGGAGGAACTATTACCACTCAGTGCAGCACGCGCGTCTGAAGATTTTCCACCCAAGGCTGCTGTCGAGGTTATGTTCATCTCCATCTCGACGACTTCTCCCGATAAACCGTCATCGCCACTGACGTCTCTCATGTCGTCATCACTACTAGGTGTTCGTCGAGCACCAGGAAACTCCAGCAGCGCACGCTCCAGCGCAGCTTCTATTTCCGACAGCTCCCGTGCATCCACGACTAGCAAAAGGCGCGCTGGATGGTAGCTTTCGCACAACATGTGATGCAGCGCTTTTCGAAACGCATCGCCGAGCGTGTCTATGCGCTTCGCACCCTCCTGCGCTTTAGTAGTAGTACTACGTCCATTCACGTCTGTGTCCGCCTCAGGTTGTGTAGCTGCCTCAGAACTCACCACCGACGGAGCGCACGGAGGAGACCCGCTCATCGCGACAAGGCTTTGACCCGATCCCACTGTTTTCAGCCGCTCGTGATCAATAGTCCCTGCAGTTGCAGACATAGTGTCTTCTGTCCGGCACAAGTCGCCCCCCTCGGTCGCTGAAGCGCTGGTGCTCTTCCCTGAACCTGCTAGACCACCATCGCAGGGTAGGGGTTTAGAAGATGTTAGTACAACGTTATCGGCTGACACAGCAGACCGATCTCCATGATCATCTTGAACGACCTTCACACTCTGGCCCATGATAGACGCAGCCAGTTGGTCGACTGTTTTCGGCTGCACAGTGTTCGCTGAAAAAAAGCTAAGAAGTGGTGCTGTGGTGGATGTCGGTGGCATCACCTGTTCAAAGGTGCTCGATCGCGAGAGGTCTCGCGCATTCGCGCTTGTCTCATTAGATGAAGTCCGACTCAATTGCTTCTGCTCGTCCAAGGCTTTGCGCTTCGTCCACTCCTGAGAAACCAACGACATTGCAGGACTGAAAAAAAATGAATGCATCTCCTGAAGCTCTTCAGATGGAAATCGAAACAAGTACTAGCAATTTACTTCTTATTTCTTTTCTTGATATAAGTCAACAAATTGAAAAGAAAATACTACGTAGTGGTACCTGTTTGTAAACGACTACGGAACAAAGGACGCAATTTTCTTCCGAGGAGTTGCGGATGTAATCCGACACAGGCGCACACAGCGCCTCATGCACACATGCGAGGTAGCGGCGTTCTTGCACCTGGCCACGTGCTCCTTTCTGCAACCAGCGGAGAAGGTTCTGGACTGTCCGAAATTTCTTCAATTTCAAGTGGTGCATTTTACACACTGGCTGAAGCAATGCATTCAGAGGGTGCTCATCGAAAAAGGCGTAGGTATCGAGCCAGATGATACCAATAATCCCTTTTGGCCCTCCGAATTGGGACGATGTCGTCGACAACCGCCGACCACCATAGTCAGACGACGTCCAGCCCTGTTGTGTCGTTATGTACAAAAATAAAGTAAGTACTAACTAGCCTAGGTATCATATCTCTTAATGTAACCTGAATCATAATTCCTCATTATGAGTAATACAAGTACTGAAGTACTTCCACCAAGGTCCCTCCCCTCCTTCGCTTCATCTGCCAGGTAAAAAAGTGTAATCGTCATTCATCTGCACACACTTTTCTCAGCAACATATTTCCAAGTATTGTAGAGATCAAAAAATAGAAATAACGCATCGTCCTCTAAAATGGTTGTAAACTTTGTGAGTACACAGTCGGAATCTGTGAGAACGCCGTAGGAGGATGAGTAGTCGACATATGAGGACTCGACGCCGCCGGTGAGGCCACCACACATGAGCATCTGGATGTCGATATTTGAAGAAGAGGAATCCATAAAATTAGGTTGAGTTAGGTTCTGGATCCTTCACATCGAGCTCCGCTGGCAGCTACTCGACTCCGAGGATGATGGGTCGTCAATGAGCTATTGTCATGATTTATCAAGGAGACTTAACTGTGTTGAAAAAGTAAAAGTACTTCCGGAGATAACTCATGTTGATAGTCCAAACTGGTACCACACTGTTCTGCTTTTGTAACCGTATTCTGCGCTCGAGCAAGTGGACTTTCTCGACGTCTGACAATCGGTGATACCACGTCGACCATATATTCGCTACATCCAGGTCGAGATTCAGGGCTAAACGATCTATCACTTCGCGGTCGTCTGTGAGTGCCGGTGCCGGTAAAGGACTCGCGACTGCCGGTGTAATTGCGTCTGTAGCACGGCATGGCGCGGTGATAATAGCTGCTGGGTTTTGTGAGAAAGGGAATGGAAATGTCATGTCATGGCACCTCTTACGTAGCTATTAGCGTCTACTTGTGAGGCCATCCAGTAGGGAAGTACCTCCAGAGGAGAGCGACCTTACCGGTTATATAATGGACTTTCCTGAACTAGCAACCACAATTCTTGTCTGCTAGTTGATTATCCACACATTCAATGAAGAGAGCGTGAAAGAAAAACAGCAAGACTACAGGGGGGCGGTGATAACCATATGCACATAAGGCTTAATAATATTATCAGAAATTACTAGAGCCAAAATCGAACCTGCTTCGCGCTTTCCGCCACGCGGCCGGCTAACGCGTCGATTCTTTCCGGAAGCTCGGCGCCATTGATCTTGCCGGCAAGTCCGATTACCCTTCAAAGCTTCGCGTTTGGTTTCGGCGGCGCCGGTCCTCGGATGAGCAGTCTCATCCAGTTCCATATCGGCCCACCTTGCTGCTAGCGCCCCCGCAGCCTCAGGTTGATAAGTCACGGCAGTCATAGTGCTACCAGTACTTTTTTTTCTATCGTAACCAAAGCAAAACAAAATTTTGGACGGACAACAAACGCAGGGCGTTACAGATTTCCAGGTAACTCTTATGAAACTTTTCACTCGTTTTCCTTCATCCTTTTCAAAATGTATTGTCAGGCACTACATACACATGATACACTGTAGTCTCTTTTTCAAGACTCGCAGTTCTTCTGCAGCACGTTTCTTCGCTCGGTACTTTTCCTTCTCTTCAGGGAGCCACAGACTTCGGAAGCACCAACGGCCAGAGGCATGCAGAGCGAATCCGTTTTATTTCATATTCATGTTGGTACTCTTCATAGTACGTAGCTACTTCGGAAGCTTGTATTTTCCATTTTAGTAGAATGGTAGAATGGTAGTTTAGAAACCTCTCGTGTGGATGAAGAAGTACAAGTACGACCTCCATAAATAAAGCCCACGCCTCCAGAGCTGTTTTCGCGAACACACAGAGTTCCACAAACTGCGAGCCTTTTCTTCTATTTGTCTAAAGAGGACACTATGGGGTTTAGTACCCTACAATCGTCGTGTTGTCATTCGCTTGCTTTCCTAACACAGATGATGAGAGCCCGATAGAGCGCCTCCTTCCTCTGGAGCCTGTTAAGGTGGTACGTAACGGTTTTCACACATTCTTGATTGTTCGTGGGGGATGCCCTTCGTTTGTTTTTTGTAGTTTCATGTTATATTTTGTCGTGACATTCTTCAGTATAATTGCTTCAATATCAAAGAGTCTTTCTTGTCTTTGTGTGCGACGACTCTTCCTTAGCGCATCGTGTGCTTATATTTTATCAGATCCTCGCTGTAATCCTTGAAGTCGTCCCGCTTAAAGTAATACCTGTTTATTTTGAAGACTAATTCATTTCAAGGATGTATTAAGAACAGTCAGTGACGTCCAACATCGATCATTTCATGCTGCATATTATTCACCTTGATCTCCAGCTACATCATCATAGTAAGCGAGAAGTGAAATTCAGCATTTTTTGTTGTGTCTCTACTTCATACACTTTGTTTTTGTGATACACTTTTTTTTTGTGATACACTTTTTTTTGTGTGTTAGACTAAAAAGGAATTCAGATACGTTCGATCCACTGGCTCAGCATCGACAACGGGTTGAAATTGGGTAGCGGTAGTCGGTTCCTCTTCCCGTATCTTCGGCGTTTGGAAGAGGTTCGCGACATTGTCTCGTCGCATCCTTGTCTTCACCCAATCTTGTAATTTGGTCTGGAGTTGTTTGAGGACCACTTTTTTTGGACAGAATCTGGTTCATAGGAGAACGCAACTACATGTTGGTAACCAGGAGTTGTAGTTGTAACTATCCGGAATATACTTGTAAAGCAGATAATTCTTGCTACAACGGAATTTGTCTACAGAAAATCGATTTTTTCGACCCACCTTGGCTCTACTACTACTTCTAGTATGCTGTTCTAAAAAGAACGATGGTAAGTAAGTAGATTACATCCATTGCGGCAGTTTTCTTTGCCTCATCGTAGCTGTCGAGCAATTTTCGAACATCTGGATCATTCACTATAGATTCAGGCCTAGTTTGCGCCTTCTTCTTGCGCTCCTCTGCTATCCTGTTCTTTTGTGCGTGTGAGAGTAGAAAATTGGAACAAAGGATGTTTTGTACTACAGCACCAGTTGTCAGAGCAGAATGTTGAGAACCGATGTTTCTACACTAAAGGAGCTAAAAATGAATCTTCTGCAGCGGTAAAGCATAAGAACATTTAGCCACACAAATTTCACGATAATTTTAAACATGTGTACCTTGCAACCTCCTTGTTTTGCGCTCCGCTCACTGTTGAGTAGCCATCGTCAGTGGATTTGTAAAAATCCAAGTGGAACTGTTTGCTTGCTTCAAACTTTTCAGCATCCGCCATCTTGCTCGAACAATGTCCTTATCTTTGTCTCTATATCTTTTTTCACCGTTGGAAGATGAATAGTTGTAGTTGCAAAATCTACTAGTTGATGGTAACTACAATATCTTCCCTGTTGTTTCAAGTACTTAAATAAACAACATGATCTTGTTCTCAACAAATCTTTTTCTAAGCAAGCTGAAACTACATGATCGCATTGATGTTGCCAGGTAGATTCTTAGGGTTGTTTTCATCCGCTATGAAGATTATTTTAGACGTATTGTATTCTTATCATGCTTAGAAAATACACAGGTTAGTCGCATATTATTGAAAGTTACGCAACGACCATCTACGAATAATTGCTTGATTCGAGACCGATGACCCGGGGCGCAGTTGTTAGGAACCCGATGAATATTGAAAGAAGGCAACAGCAGATGGCAATTGGAGGGTGGGTTCGGAAACACTGGAGAGAAAAACTACTTTAGAAGGAGTTCAGTACAGGGGAATCCTGCTTGATTGGGCTTGGGTATGACCTTTCTTTCGCTTTCTTCTACGAGGTGGACTATCTCCCATTGTGCCTAAAACGTTAAATCTCTACTGGACTTGCTAGAGACTGAATTCTGCAAGCCACGATAGCACTAGGGAATTAATACGTAGCAGAGAGAACAGTGCAGAAGAACGTACACCCACGATAATCAGACTAGAGGTAACACTACCTGCGCATTCCATCATACTACTATAGAGAAACCGATGCCGATACAGAATACTCGTCCTCTTGCAGACAATGGAGAATACTCATTCTCATACAGATACCTTCCTCGCATCTTCAGAGTGCAAAAACCGAGAAGCCCCTTGACCGAGGACACTCAAAATCGCTCCTCGACTTCGAATGTTTGAGCAACTGTTCACCTGGCAAAAATCAATGTTCGTTTGAAAACTGGCAAAACTACGCTTGAAGACTTACTTCCCCCCCGCTCAACTGCAAGCGGATCATAGGAACAACTGTCAGAGAGCAGCACTTCTCCCCTCGTCGAAGTTTGCGAATGAAGGTGCCCACCTCGAAGTTTGTACGAACTAGTCTCGAGGACGAGCATATTGTAAGCTATGCAGCACCAAGGGAGGGGGATCGTCCAGAGAGATGGGATAATTGAGAACGATAGGAAAGTTGATGTTTCATCTGCAAAGTAGGAGTTAGATCGATCTTGGTGCAAGCGGTCGGAAATGACGTCAGAATGATAGACGACTCAAGTTGATGCAGAACTGTGACGAGATGAAGGTATCTCTCTGGCGGAAAAGGAGGCGTCTTGCTTTCTCCAAAAGCGCGGCGCCTAAACTCACAACTTACCACACGCGTAGTCGTCGCGCACTGCGTGATGAAGTTCCTTAATCACTGCCATCATCACTATCATCACTGTCGTCGTCGTCATCACTATCACCATCGCTGCTTTTCATCTTGGAAACAGCGCTAACTTCAGAAGCGTCGCTTCCGGGTACGCCACTCTTGTCCTCATCACCATCGTCACTTCCTTTCTCCTCATCAGAGCCATCATCATCGTCACTTCCCTTCTCCTCGTCGTCTCCTCCGTCATCATCACCATCAGAACTGCCATCGTCGTCGTCACTTTCGCCAGTACTATGGGAACTGGAGCGCTTCCGCTGTTCCCTGCGAGCCTGTCTGCGCTGTCCGATCTTGAGCTCACGCTTCGCGCGCGTCATCTGAAAGCGACCCGCCTTGTCGCGCCTCGGCCCTCCGCGCATGCGCTTCTGAAGCGTGATCTTGGTCATCTGCACCTGCGTTTCCACCGGCATGTTGTTGATAGCAACGATCGGCTTGCGCCACCGCATCGAGTTGTACAACAGGGCGTCGTCGATTTTCTTGCGGCACGTGGGATCGTGCAGCGTCAAACCCAAGTGCGTCAGCCGGTCGTTCTCCACCAACGCGTTCATGAAGGCCACCTCCACCTGCTTGTAGCGCGCACTGCTGTTGCCCGGGTTGTTCGACAAGGAGAGCCGCTCCAACCGCACGTTCTCCTTTAAACTTTCCGCCAGGGCCATCAGCGAAAACTGGTCGAACTGGTTCCCTTCCAGCGAAAGCTCCTTCAGCGTCGAGTTGTGCACGAGCACCGAAGCGAAGGCTGTCCCGACCGCACTGGGCAAGTCCGCATCATTGATGGACAGGAATTGGATGAACGTATTCGTATGCATCGCCGAGATCAAATCCGGCACAATATTCGAGGTCGAAGCCGTCGGTAACGAAATGGAATCTGGTGGAGAGCAAAGGGAAGGAGGTAGACGAATGACAATCAACATCTGCGAGGAGGTGGCGGCAGGGAGGTAGAATGGAATGTTCGTAGAAGTCGAGCAACTGAGTACACCGTCACCGAATTGAAAAGTGTTTCATGTTGAATCATATGATGAACAAAACTAAATGCTTCAAGTGTTGGAAACTCAGTGTTATTTGTGCCCGTTGTCACTACCTATTTTGTGAAAGCACAAAACTTCGAGAATCGCCAGATTTGAGGCATCGAGGACAGCCACATTGATTAATAAAGGGCAAACCTCTGCTGGTCGGCGTCGGAAAACTAGGTATGAAAAATTATCGAAGATGACATCGACCATTCGTGTCAGTATAGCAACTAAGTAACTAGAATCTTGATTTAGGTCTGAAGAAGTATTCTCGAAAAAAAGTACGAGTACTTATATATAAAGCAAATGATGTCAGCAAAATAGTTACCCAGCTGCAGTCTTTTGAGGGAGTTGTCGTTGAATTGCACCCTTTTGATCTGGTAGATGACCCAATCACCTGGGGTACCGAAGGCCTGCGGAGGGTCAATCTGCCGGAGAGAGGCGATATTCTCGCACGCGTCCAAAGTCATGAGCATCATCTTCGACGTGGTAGCCATTAAATCCTTCAATGAGAGATGCTCTCCTAACCGGAAACCTGTTACCTTACCACCTGTATCCTTCATGCTCACCTGGTCCACGTCCGGTTCCACGTAGGGCACGTCGGGCGGCTTCGGGAAGCCGTGCGCTTTCCGGCCGCCGTCCCACAGCTTCATGGTCGGATACGGGCCCCGGGGCACAAGTAGCTCCTTCACCGTCAGCGGACGAGTCAGTCTCTCTCCTGTTTTCGTTTTCGCGTAGGCGCTGCTAAAACCCTCGTAGCCCACCACAGAGTCCGCCGCATCACTCGACTCTTCCTCTTCCTGGCCGGGAAGCGCATAGTGCTTACGCGGCTTCCCCGCCTCCTTCCTCTCGCGTTCCCTGCGGTCCTTCTCAGTCTCGTACAAATTCACGTCCTTAACCGTGAAGCTTGGCGCCGGCAACGCCTTGTCCGGGTCCCACCAGGTGTATCCTAATGTCGGCTTGCCAGTGGCATTTTGTATTTTCTTTTTACCCTTCCCATCCTTTTCACTCCCCTCTATTGGAATCGGCTTTCCCGTGGTGAGGTCGATCATCATTGGGGGGGCCATACCCGTCTCTAGCAGCTCAGTGGGGTAAGGCAGCGCCGGAAACGATATAATCTCTCTGCTGTCTTCCGGCAGCCCGACTTGGTTATACTTCGCCATCTTCTCGATTAGGTTGCGCATCTCGGCGAGCCCCGCTTCCGTCTGTGCGTGCATCGCGTGCAAGGCACTGTCCCCTATCGGTTTGAATTCTACGTCATTAACTCTTCCCTGAACATCTACGCCCCCTCCTTTCTCCTCTTCTAGCATCTTTTCCTTGTGCCGGTTGGCCGCGTTGTTTCCATACACAAACTGGCCATGCTTTATGCCACCTCCGGGGGCCATGGGTATGATGGACGCGCCGCCCTCTTGCGGTGCGCGAAATGCCACGTCGCGGGATGCGAAACCCATCGCACCCGCGTAGCGCATAATAACGCTCCGCACCAGTCGGTGCTCCAGAAGCAACGCTTTTTCAAGTTGGTCCCCGTAACCCTGCTGTCGGATCACTTCGCAGAGCACATCCACGATCAGGCGACACTTTTTCCAGCGCTTGTCGTGGACCATTTTCCGCGGCCAGTGGCTTTTGCTGCGCGCTTCTGCGTTAGGATCTCTGTGTCCCATCGCCGCAAGGAGAGCGTCGCGGCTCCCCAACACAGAGCAATCCAGCAGAGCGCAAATGTGCGCTAGCCTGTGACAGTCTCCCCCAAAGACCCGGGCCGACGCGGCGGCGTCGCGCAACAGCAAAAACTCCTCCAGCAGATCCCGCAGAAAGTCAATATACTCTAAAAGCTGGCCTTGGCATCGCGATGGGGTGGTAGCAGCGTCCATGCGCCGCTCCTGTACGCAGGCAGCCAAGCAGTCATCAATGTCCAACAAGATGCGGTCGAAATCACTCAAGAGGATCTGTTGCGTAAACGATTTCCTACCCTGCGGATGCACTCCCCCTTCTGCCTTCAAGTAGTTATCAGCGTAATTTTGCGCATAAGGAGCGGGGTACAACAAACCCACCGGTCGTTCCGCATCCGTCATCTTCCCTTATTATTACGTTCTCTTACTCAAACAATACACTACAATCCAATAAATCTCGCACAACGTTCAGTGCAGACTGCAGATTACAAGTTTTTATTTAATACTTTGATAGATGATTCGAAGGTCCAGAAACCAAATGAACAAACTGCATTCAAATCCAAGACCCAGAAAACTAAACCAGGCAAAGGCAAACTACAACCCTATGCTTTATTCAACATTCAACAAAACATTTAGCATATGACAAAGACGCTCAATGCACACAGACATCTTTCACAACGCCTACTTCCAACAGTGAGAAGATAGGCAGGACATCATGAAGAAAATAGAGGTGGTGCGAAAACACTATCACAACGTGAATGAGTCTCCAGCAACCACCGTTCGCGTCATCTTCTATTTCTAAAAGCAGGCATTATTAGAGTAGCGTATTATAGTGGGAAACTTTCGACCAATGTTTTTAGTAGGATATGGAAGGACGAGAGGGAGGACGATTGTGTAAACACATTTTTCATCCAAAGAAGAGAGAGTAGCTGCATTGGCCTGCATCGTATCATGAATCTTATGGATTGAACAAATCAAAACGCAAAACTAAGAACGCTTTCTCCTCGCTAAACCTTCACACCGTATTTTGTCTCTCGAACAGAACATGACAATACACCTCATGTCCATTTAACACAGAATCTATCAGGGAATATGAACAAGAGTAGAACGGCTGATCAAAGTCCATGACCTGAAATATTTTCTTTCCAACATCGAACGACTCATTTCTCCAAATTATAGGTAGCACATAAGAACGTAAAAAGCATTTCCCACACACAGACTCTCTCATCTCTCGCAGGAGGAGCCGCTCGATGTATCATGACAGACGACAGATACAGAGGCTGGAAAACTTGTCATCTTACTTTTTGGACTCTGCGCATCCAAATTTTACAATCTACTGCTATCTGAACAGAAGGAGCGACGTCCGCTGCAACTGGGATGCGCAGCAACGCTTGTAAAAGGCTATTGAAGATACTTCTAAAAATTCTAGGTTTTTCTTACCTTCAAATTTCATAAGCTTACTCAATATAAACAGTCATTGGGATAGTTTTGTTGCGCTAAATTTCCTCGTAATGAATAGAGATTGGTACATAGGACGAAGCTACAATTTAAGCCAGTTTGGAATGAAGAATCAAGTTCGAATAAAATCGATTGTGCTACTAGACAAAAAATTTATGGTACAAGTTGTGTCATTTTCAGTCCCTTGAAAGTTTCAGTTTCTCCGAAAGTCTCATAAGAGAGGACTACTTGGTAGGGTATCCGCCACTGGCTGTTTCACCTATAGCAGATCGGACGGGCTCCGACCTACGCCGGGCGGCGTGCCGGTCCTTAGATTTGTTGTGTGCTTCTTCTCACAAGTGCATGTACTTGTTCTTGGATGTGATCTTCTGCGAGCACCACACACAGCAGGGCTACGACATATTCTTCCCAGGTGCTGTCTTGGGCTCCATGGGGGATCCCCAAGTAGCTAGTCCACCCTGGTCTTATTCCACGTCAACATGAAGTAACTTCTAGTTGTGAAAACCCGAAAAACATCTAGTTAGCCCGAGAACAGTGGATCACGATTACGTGGGGGCTTGGGCCGAGGTTGGTCACCAAATAGGCTTGCTGCACCAGGTCTCCGGGCTCCTGTAGACGGTGCGTCGTCGAATAAACCGGCGCCACGGTTTGTCTGCACATTTGTCTGCGGTGCGTTTCCGAACAGACTGCTTGCGGCTGTTGCTCCTCCCCGGACAGGCTGCGCCCCCGCAGCACCCGGAAAGCCGCCGTTCTGGTTTGGTGGTGGAGGAGGCGGTTGTTGTTGGACTTGAGGCTGCGCCGCAAAGATATCGTTGCTTCGCGGCTGCTGATGTACCTGTTGAGGGAAACCGCCTCCGCCGCCCATCGTTTGCTGAGGTGCGCCTCCTCGATTGTTCATCATGTTCGGGTTCATGCCACCACCACCGCCAGCGCCGCCCATTATGCTATTATTCGGCCCTCCTGACATGCCTCCAGCCCCAGGCATTCCACTGCTCGGGGGCACTGGTTGATGCCCCATCATCGGCGAGGCCCTTGCCGCCGCTCTGGCTGCGCCGCCACTCATGCCCGCACCAGCTGCTGCCTGCTTCCCGTAAAGCATTTCTGTGTATAGCGCATCGAGGCCACTGTCCGTCTCACCAATCTGCATCTCGATATCGCGTGAAAGAACCTGGTGTGCTTTCCGGATAATGACTTTTTGCTCCACTAAGCTCTTGCGCTCGTCTCGGATATGCGCCGGCTCCAACAAGATCTTGTCCAGAGAATCAGCAGACTGAAAATTCTGCGTCAACGCCAGCTTCAGCTTCTCCTGGAAAGAACGAACCAAGAAGCACCCGATCGCCTTCGGAATAGCCTCGCGGAGAGATCGCACGACCTTGTGTTGAACATAGGACAGTGAGGTATAAATATTCATATTGTGATATAAGTATGCAAACCACGACGAAAGCATTTGATTCTTGTTGAGTGCCCGATATCAAACATCTTCGCTTCTAATTTTTTCACCGTCTCTGACATTCTCCAAAACGAGCAACTACAACATGATCCCAACAACATCAAGATAGAGAACATTCCGCCATATGTTCCAGGGCTCAGGGCTGAAGGCCCCCCCGATCTAACTTTTTGAAGAGGGGGGGCCTCCAGCCCCGGACCCTTTTCCTCGAGGGGCGGCCGGGCCAGAAGGCCTCCGGGCGCCCACCTCTGACCCCTTCCCGCTTCTTGCCTGGACCCTACAGAGCCACCAGCCCGGAGGCCGTTGAAGCACCGAAGGGCGGGGGTGGAAGGCTTCCGGAGGTGGCAAAGGTCGCAAGGCTGGACCGCCTTGCCGTGCGGCATGTACCCTACCAACCTGGCGAAACTGGCAAGACTGGACCCCCTTGCCGTGTTGCACGTTCCCTACAGACCTGGCGGGCTCCTTGGGAGGTGGAAGGCCCCCGAGGGCCGCAGGTGGCAAGGCTTGACCCCTTTAGTCGGTGGCCGGGCCCGTCCCCCTTTAGTCGGTGGCTTCTTCCCCCGGAGCCCGTCCCCCTGACAGCGCCCAAGAGTCGGGACCCTGTGGGGTACACGCGGAGAGCCGCCAGGGGACTCCGGCCCCGCCTTTTGGGGCCTTCGCCCCCGAGAGTCCTTATATGTCACCACCGCGGAAAAAAGAGCGCGCGGACGCCACCCCCGCTCCATCCAAAGGGGGAGGGGGCCTCCCTCCCTGGTACATATATAATATGAATTCTTGAAGTATAGCATTACTAACCCTGTACCTGATGTAGGAGACAAGTAGGAACTACATGAAGTATAACATTCCTATACCATAAGTAGTAAAAATAGTACCAGTTTGAAGTATGCTTCCAGCCTATCTCTGATATCTCGCAAGAAAGCTTGTGAGTATTTGGATTGGAAGTTTTTCTGCTTGTTGCCCATCAAGTATGCTTTCGCATCCGCGTATCTTGACTCAACCCCGTCTCTCATCCGATAGAAACCGCCAACGCTAGGATCCTCCTCTGCTTCCTGCATTTCTGCCGCTTGCCTGTTAGCAATGTCCGCCGCGGTTCCGCCTTGCCCATGCGCAGTTGGCTGCATCGCACCGTGCGCGATAAGATACAAATCGTCGTTTGTAAAAAAGTAACCTGTTTTTTGATATACATTTCCGAAAAATTGAATCCTCATATATTTTCTTTCACAGTCGTCAGAAATCAGTAGTGCCTAAACCGTTTTTGTCTTATTCGTTGTAGTAAATGATCCAGGAAAAACTAATCAGAAGCAGCACTTTTCAGAGTCAACTCCCTATAATTTCGTTCACAAATAAATGAAGTACCTGTTGAGGAGTTGACCGTATCCTCTACGATTGCTTTGGTCTTCATACGCTCCTCATCGATAATGGTGTTGGAAAGTTCGAAAACTTTTTCACCCAACTCCGGAAACCGGTAGAAAACTAACAACGATACCCGATGCGCAAGTCCGCTAATGCATTGCACAGTATCCGCTAAGCAGTCCAACGAGGGTTGGATAAGCTTACCTGGAATTATCAGGTGAAACGCCATCTGACTAAGAAGACAAGAGCCTTAACATGTTAGAGGCAAGGAAGTAGAGATACTCATCCGTACGTAGTTGGACAAACGTTACCATCAAGATTCGATCCGAAATAGATAAACGAATAGAGAGAAGCGACTAGTACTAACCCTTTCATTCATGAAAAAAATGATAATTTCTAATCCACATTGAAAAACATGAGAGAACTAATCGCTATGTAAGTGGTACTCAAATGCGGGCTGATCAGCATCTCGAAAGTATCTGGACTCGGAAAACCTGGAAGCGCGTCGCCCTCAAAATTTCGAAGCGATTGGTTGATATCGTCGTCTGTTGATAGAAAAATTGTGAGAAAGACACATGGAAGGTCGTGGAAAGATGCATACACGGAATAAGGACAAGCACATTATCTTTTCTGGTATGAAATCTCCTTCACTGGCAAACTAAGTCGTGAAATTTTGTAGCATGACTCATGAAGCATTATAACCGTGATCATAAGACCTACAAAACTTCTAGTTCTAGTAGCAGCCACTAGTTCATGCAAAAGTAAGTTCTAGTTCAAAACTCTAGTTCTAGTTCATGTACCGGTAAGATCTTTGGTAATATCTTCCTCGTAGATATCTTCAAGAAATTTTGAGAACCGCCTCCTAACCTGCGCACCAACTGAGGGCGCCTCGTCGGACTCCGACTGGTGCTTTTCTATCAGCGCTGACAACTTCGGGTCGTATTTACCTGCAACAACGTTTGGAAACCAAAACTATAATATCAGTACATGATCATGTACTAGCCATATGGTCATGCAGTTGTGTACTAGTAAAATCATACGACTACCAACAGCAGGGAAAATGATAATTAATGAAACGACAAATTAATGAAGCAATGATCATTTTAAAGGAGGCAAAAAACAGTAATGACGTCCATTGTTCTAGTTCTACTACCTTTAATGCTATTATCGATCATCTCGCAGAAGCTGCTAATATCGCGCCACACGAGCTGGGTTTTCACGTTCGCGTCTTCGGGGATGCCGTCACCTAGTTCCTGCAATCGTAAGTCAATTTTCTGTCGTAAATCGAAGACATCCCGCTTGATCTTCGGCAGGAACCATCGGATATGAAGGGACAAGACCTTCATCAGCCGGTCAACTAATGCTTTGGTCCCAAAGTAACCTGGTTCGACCCGGCTATACCTATGAATATATAGAAACAAATAGAAATAGAATATGATGATTAACAAATTTTAAACGATTTGCATGGAGAAGAACTGTTGCTGTCGTCGTTTTCACTTCCGTAGTAGAGCGTCCGGTTTCTTCGAGCGTCCTATGTTGCAGTACTCAACTTCATCAAATCATCTGCATTTCAGGGTCTTCAAAGCTGCGTGACCTTCTTGGAACAACGGTTGTAGACGTTCCGAAAAAAAATAAAAATTATCAAAAGGGAATAGTACGTTGGATGCTCCGCAAACCACTTCTCTTCCATTTTCAACGCCTCTGCTACAGTCATATTATCCATGATATCTTGTTTTGATCGGTTTTTCACACCGATAAAACCTAATCGAAGATGCACGTCTTCTCCTTTTACCGTTCGGATTGCCTGTTTGCATTTTTGGAAGCTTGTTGTCAGACCTATCTTTTGCCAAGGCCTGTCGCTTAAATGGTGAAAGAACTGTTTCTTAAGTAATGAAAGAGTTGTTACTTATTCCTAGAGCTTAAGTAGTCACAGGAGAAATTGTCGCTTATTAAGTGGGAATAGGGATCTTCATCATCATGGAGTCTATCACTGGCTAGCATGCCAGTACCTAGCCTATGCGATGCTCTGCACCCTCAGAGGAGAAGATGACAGGCGCAACGTGAAAAAATCTAGCAAAGAATATAAGTGAACCAACAACCTAAAGGGTCGCGGGGCTTATAACCGGGGGTCTAGCCCACAAGCTAGCGCGCCCAAAGAATTGAAGTCAGGCTTTAAATCCATACTATACCTACGTCATCGCATGTTGCGGCATAACCAATTCTTTAACAACCTGCAGCAACAGATACAACGGTCCAACGATACAATACAATAAATCTCGCACAACGTACAGCGCAGACTGCCATAAGGGCGTCGTAGAGGTCCGGCACGATGTTACCTTAACAGCAATCGACTTATAGATACGTTAGTTCCCACAAACTTGAACAGTTGATTTATACGTTAGTGCCCGCGTCCATGATATCGAGTTTTGTGAGAACGCCGATTGTTCGGACGCCCTCAGGATCGAACTGCCGGGCGTATTTGAGGCCCACGGACGTGGTGATGTCCGCATTTGCTGGCGAAACAGCGAGGACGATGGTGCGGTCGTCGCGAATGTATCGCTCGGTCATCTCACGGGTGATGCGTGCTACATCCCCTGTTTGGTCGCTGCCTGCAGCCGCAATCTTGGTCATACCCGGCAAATCGATAAGCGTCAAGTCGGGCACGTCTTTTCCGTAGACAGTCAGCGTGATAGGGTCGTCAATGATGGCCTTATTTGCACCACACACTTTGTCCGTCAAAAATTCGATGTGCTCTCGAATCTTATCGAAGTTGTAAAATTTGGTGTTGTCACCTCCACCGAACACACCCCATGCAGGATGACCTGTCGAAAGTGAGCAGTAGTTTCTAGGGGTCGGACTCTTAACAAAAGGGGTGAGCGGTCATTCGCAGGATTTTGTATCTGATAAAGAGGTCGAGCATTGATTAGTCTAATCTATTGGTCACCAATACGAAAAAGTCAGTGGAAAATCATCGCTCGCGCAAAAAAGTCAGTTAACACGCGAACAAATCAGCGACAAGAAAGACACTTCGCTTCATCGCCAAAAACGTTACGAGTACCTTCTTCCTTCACTACTGCTTCGCTAACGTGTACTAGTCGCAGCTCCAATGGCCGCCTTGTGACAACTCCGTCGCCACGCGGAAGAAAGTCGTATCCGACGACACTCTCGAGCACTGAAGATTTCCCGCTTGACTGTGAACCGACGACTACAATTCGCGGCAAAGAGATGATCTGTTGCAATCCTACATCGCGCAAATCATCAACGACCTTGATCACGGACGCGAGAGCGCCGCTTCCGCCGACAGATAAGAGCGAACTCATTTTCGTATAATCGGAGCGACCGGCTACTTTCTATAAAAAAACGAAATCAGAGAAGATGCTTATGTCTGTCGAGTCGGCTTTCCGCAACAGCACTAGTTTGTCCTCCGAACAAAAAAAGGGCTGCTGGACTAGGAAGTAGTTGCCGCGCAGAGGCAAGGAAATGAATATCGGGCTGGCTGTACAAGAAGTTTCCGACGTGTCTTGCGAGTGCGTAGGCGCGCTGGTGCTTCCGGCGCAAAACGCTACTCTCTCATTGTTCTGTTCCTATCTACGTCGCGCGTCCTGTACAAGCATCAAGGCTCACTACAATCCATTGTGAACCAAAAATATATCACTCTCGACCGCAGCGCCTTTTCTTCTTTGACTTTTCATTGATACCTGCTAACACAAAGGACAACACACGCACGCATGATGCAGAATCTTTCAAATATATACAAAACATAAACAACACCCAAAAATTTTCGATGAAATAAACGCCAATTATCTATTTGTCCAAAAATTGAACTGTTGAACCCAAAATGAATCCGTCTAGCATAGTACTAACTCTGCAAAAATATTCAATATTACAAATCGATGAAATTTCAAACGTCGCCACTTTGATCTCTCTCAGAACAGTCAACACGAGGAACCACACTATTCACGTACCTCTGCTGCTTTTGTAGTGATCAACAGATCGAGCTCCAATTTTCTCGAAAGAGTCAAATTCTCGTCAAGCTTCTAAATGGCGAGCGGACTGTTCTCACTGACATGACCATTTTCATTCCCTTCTTGAATGTAGAAACATTCATGAGATGGGTACAAGGCCTCGCGAAGGCAGATAACTATGATAGCATCGGTGATTCTGTGCGAGATCCAACATTGTACGGAAAGACATTGAAAATGATATTCCTACCAATGCCGTGTCCTCTCGCAAGCAACTCATAGTTTTTTGCAGCTGCAAAAGTTTGTGACTGGTATATCTGTGCATGCATCTGTTCAAAACTTGCAGAGTATGCAAGGAAGCGGCTAGTGGTCTTTATCACCTAGTCCAGTTCTCGCACACTTGTGTCTTCATCGTCCGGCGGAGGCTTTTCGTCTTGCATTCCCGCCCGCGCTGCCTGAACCATGGCATCCATTTCTTTGCGACCGTCTTCTGCTTCTGCTTGCTCGATTTTCGCATCCAACTTTGCGGATTTCTCTGCGCGCTTCTCTGCTCTTTCTGCGTCAACCGTGGCGCCCGTATCGGGATCTTGCGCGATTCGGAACTTCGACTTGCCGCCGGCGGCCGCCAGGCGACGCTTTGAAATCAGCGGACAACTTTGATCGCAGTCTGCGGTGTCTACTCGGGAAGGCGGCACTATGACCGTGCGATACGTGCGTTGGTTGTTCTGGCCTCCCGGGAAGTCAGCAAGAGACACAAACACTCGACAAGAATGCAAGCCGTTCACTTTTTGCACTCGGTGATCTTCGCACGGCAGAGACACGCCTTCTGCATCACCGCAAGCTGCTAGGTAATTGCGCCCCTCTTCTGAAAATTCCTGGCCTAAAATCATGCCGGATCCGTTTTCGGGGTCGGGAGGACGCGGACTGCGAGTAGCAATAGTGTCGGTACATGTGCACTTCAACGACAGCTTCTTGCCAGGACAGCTCGCCAACTCTTTCCGAACCGGCCATCGAAGCGCTTCTGCCGCAGCTTCTTCCTCACGCGCGAGTGCTTTCTTCGCATCAGCGTCTAGCAATTTTATCTTAGATGAAGTCTGCTGATCTTTCTTCGCTGCACTTTCTCCGCCAGCAGCAGCACCACGACCACCAGCTTTTTTCTTGACAGCTGCCGGATTATCATTCGTTACGAGGCTACTATGTCGCGATCGATACAAACCCATGGTGCTGCGTTCGCCACCGATCGGACCACACTTGTTTTTGCAGAAGTCCCAAAACGGTCCTAGTTTACTGTCCGGCGCTAAGGCGCCGTACGGCCTCGTGAGCACGCGACCAAAAACTTGACAGGTAACACTTCCTGGCGATTCGATTTCCATTTCCTCATTGGGATTCTTTTTTGCGGATTCGTCCTTTTCGTCCGCTAGCTCCATGCGATTCACGCTGCCCTTCGCACACCTCGTCCACCGGGTTTTGTTGCCGCAACGCGCCCAAACCTGTTCGTGCCCGTACTTGTTGCAGTTACAGGCCATGCGGAGATCTGGCGGTGCGCAGGTATTGAAAAAGAAATTGGCGTCGGCCGGTTCCGGACAGGAATCCAACACGAGAGGAATGTTGTGCACCTTCTTAAATTAGCCTCAGCTTTGATCCATCTCGGTTCCCTCATCTCGACCCCTTTCCGATGAAATACAAGGGAAAAGGGTACCAAGATCCCGAGAAACATGGAAAAAAGCTGACCCTAATTAAAGTTCTCCAACGTTATGCGAATCTTACTGTCAACCGTGATATCGCCATCACGATAGGTGCCAGCGTCTTTCGAAGTTGACTTGTCTTCTCCTGCCTTCTCTTTTCCGCTTCCATCATCCTTCGCTTTTGTACTGCTCGTAGCACCACTGCTTTTCTTGTGCGACTGCACCTCGATCACACAGCCCGGATTCACTAAGTTGTCGCGTCCGTACCAGCGGCTACAGGGGATCCAGGGCGTCGGGTGTTTAGGGTCCACTGAGCGAACTTCTAAAATCTTCGTCGATTCGCTGGGAAAAATGGTGCCACCACCATTTTTCTTCAGGTCGTACGAGTGGGCACATTGAAAACGGGCCTCCACATTGTCCAGTTCTACGTTATCCACTCCTCCGCCCTCCTGCATGAGAGCGTCCCGCAAACCCTTCAAAGTTTCTCCGTGCTGTCGCTGCTTCGTACGCGCTGCGAGCAGCTGCTTGTAAAACATGCCCACATTTACCTCTGCTTGCTCTTTCGCTGTCAGAGCGCCTTCACCCGTACCGTTTTCACCACCACCTCCTTCGCCGCCCTCTTCTCCGTTGCCATTAGCCCCGCCTCCACCATAACCATTTGTAGACTTGCCAGAAACGAGTGGGGCACCATCTTGATTCAGGCCATACGTCACCACGTTCGAACCATCATTGCCACCCAGCACATCCTCACCGAACCCTGGCTTCGCCGGTCGCTCAGCTGGGGTCCACTCGTCGCCATACAAAAAACCATGCGCATATGACTTAAACGCTGTCGCTCTACCTCCAGTACCGTGTTTCACATTTTTGTGGCTCCAGCACAGATCCAGAAGGATCTGTAGTGGAGATCCCGGCGCGCCGTGCATTTTGGATGACTCGTCCCTGGGGTAGTACAAAGGCACTAATTATAAATACCGAGGACAACATAGTAAGTAACTACCTCAACGGTGATCGTTGAATCCTACATTTCCCCAAGAAGAAGAGACTCGGAGCCGGTGGAGGTGGAATAGTATCAGAGATGCCTTTAGCCACGGTCTCCGATAAACGTCCTTCTCCCCTCGTTTCCGACTACGACGCTTGTCCAAAACAATGCTTCGATACTAGCGCAACCTCGATCGAAAAGACGAAACTAATAACATGTAGAACCCGTCGGGCCGACTTTGGGCAGACTCGTGCGATCGAGGAAAGTTTAAAGCCTGCGCCAAGGGCTCACTTTAGCGGGCATGCTTTTACGGAATGACACCGGTGGAGAAGCTCCAAAAGCCCTTAGCCCCCTCAAAAAGGAGAGGCCTAAAAGAAACCCAAAGTCCCTGAGATTGCTCTGCCTTCTTTCGGCCAGCATTTCCTTGCTGCTAAAAACTTTGGGTGTTATTAGATCTCCGTACTAATCATTTTTTCCAACGTCTACTACACCCGTAAGCAATAATTTCTTGCCCTATTCTCCAACGCTAATATCTATTCTTCGTTATAAGCGCTGCCGTAGAAGATTTGAGATACATCTAGTTATTTTCCACCATGCCTCAGTCTAGAGCCGAAATTCATGCCTCGAATGCTTCACTTAGCATTTTCTTCACACGAAGATATCACCTATGAAAGACGAACAAAATTTGATATCCATGTTGAGCAGCTTCTAACAAATGGCGTCTCAAATGACCATACTCGGTCATCGGCAAGGCGAAACATGCCTAGGGAGAAGGATTCATTAAAGTAGTCTTGTGAACCTTAGATAGTCAAAAATCTTATCTTACACGAGATGAAAAGTATCCTTATTACAGGACAGAGACGGGTTGCAGCAGGATGACATTTTTGTTTTTGTTGGTGTTCATTAAAATAGTTTATATTTGACATGTTCTGGGATACTGAGTTCTGGAATACTTACGACTATCGATGATAGCGATAGGAAGCTATTACTTTAATGACTGCAAGTGATTCGAAAACTACGAACTTCGAAAGAGAACGATTATTTGAAAGTTTGGTCTGTGCTTCTGAATGCAAAAACAAATCCAGTTCTGGCCAAGGGATGATTATATTTCTACGATCCCTATACATATAATCCTATTTCGAGTAATTCAACAAACACAGCTCGGCTAGGAGTTCTATGCAGCACAACCGTAATCTAAAACAATGGAAAATTCGTCATTATGACTGTCGGTTTTCGTATTCATAATCATGAGGTAGTATCTTCCAAGTATACTACAAATACTAGGATCTTTTTTTAGTAATTTTCACAATATATCCACGGTCAGCATCTTCATTCTTCTGTAGAATCAAACTAGCTTCAAAGTGGAGAAACTAGAAGGTTTAAACCCGCGTTCACTGCCACTACCATCACTAAACCAGTGAAGACTGCAAGAAACGTGTCTCCGCATCTGTTTGCACCAGTGCCCACTTCCTTATCGAGGACTTCGCGGACCGCTAGTCGCCACTGTTCATCAAGGAGACGTATGGACGGCATGCTCTTAGCTGACTCTCTATAATCGCCGTCATCTTCTAACTCTGATTGTTGTTCAATAGAAGTACCAGTAGTATGAGTACTACTAGCATCTGCATCTTCCTGGTCTGCACGCTGCGCTTCGTCTACAGGAAACTCATCCCATACTTCTTCAGAATCCGTGGTGGTCACACTGACAAGATCGTCGTTCTCGAATTTCACATCTTGATCGACCTTTATTTGGTTGTCCAACAGTACGACTGCTTCGTCGGTCATTTCTTCGCCTACGAGCAGAGCAGCTGGCAAGTCCATCTTGTTGGAAGATGTTTCTTCAATTTCCTGGTCTACTCGTTTGAGGATATCCTCCATGATAGCTCCGACGGCACTAGGCAGAGCAGTAACGATGTCCACTCGTGCTCCTTCGACCTGGCATGGTTGCAATCGCAGCCTACGCGTTTCTCGCGCACTTGCTGCCGCATCCTCATGCGTTTTCTTCTCTTCCGCCACTGCGCCCTCCAACTTTTGTTGCATCTCTTCGCGGTAGTCCCGCTCGCGCAGATGGAAGTCGGCAACGGCCGCTTGCAATCGGGTCAGCTCGCGCGTAACTTGCGCTTCGTACTGCACTGCATGCCAACTGCGGAAAACCGTACACGAAATGAGCGAGGCTTCCTCCTCAAAACATCGACCCAATCGCTTGTGTGCAATATCCAGGGCCTGCTCTAATAAGGTTTGTTTGCGCAGACGAGTGCTATAACTCTGTCCAGAAGAAGATGAACCGCTGCTAATTGCAGCATCGAAAACAGGATCATGCGCTGCTGGGTTTCCACTAACACACCAAAGTTTCTGCTCACATTCCGTGGCAAGCAACATCCTCTGCGCCCGTTCCTCCCGCAAGCTCCGCTCTGTACGCGTTACTTGATCCTGCAACCGCGAAATCTGCTTCTGTGCGTCCTCAAATTGCATTGCCGAGTCGGAGAGCGATTCCGATTTACGTTGCTCGCGTCGCAACTGTCGCTCCGCATGCGCCTGAGCAGCTTCCGCGACATCCAGTTTGGTCGCTAATTCGTCGATCGTTTCTCGAAGCCGCAAAACTTCCCTCCCGTGACGTGGCGAGATTCCGTATATTTTGCTAGCCGTGGTAGATCTCGCATTGAGAGTTCGCAGGGTGAATACTGCATCCGAGTGTTGGTCGCGTACGAATCTTGTTCTTATGCCATCTCTTTGCGTTGAAGATGTTCTAGTTGTGCTCTTCTGCTTACCATCTCCGTCAAAATCCAGCTCAACTGGTTGCATCTCGGAAGCGCGATCCCCATCTTCCTCTTCTCGTCTCGCTTCATTCTCTGGGCTGTTCGAGAAGTAAGTCGACGACGCAGCGGTGCTCCCTGTCCGTGGAACGAATACAGAGTAATCTTGATGATGTCCCTTGCCGTTAACAATTGTCGGAACCAACTCATCGTGCCTTGCGCCAGACCTCTGATTCAAACAGGTTTTGTTCCGTGGTGGCGTCAGAAAAACACAATCTCCAGAAGATGAGAAACTTCTACCCGCATTTCTGGATGTTGAAGCCGCATCTCCAGTGCCACAGTAATCTTGCTGCTGAAAACAACCGTTCCTTGACTCGTCCACATTTTCGCTGGATAATGCGACCAGAAGTGTGTGGAGTATCGCAACTAGGATCTTGGCCGCTGGATTCCGCAGAGTGTCGGATAGAGATCTCAAGTCCGCAGCGAGGTCGGGGAGCAAGGTCGCAAGCTCGGCTAATTGGAAATCCGATTCAAGTGCCACGATCGCGGGATGCCCCACCAAGAGCGTGAGATCACTACTCGTTTCCGCATCCATACTTGCTGGTCAACTACGAATACTCCCTGCGTTACTTTTAGGCATACCCATATTTTCAAAACGTTAAATGGGGGTACGATGAAGAAAATGTTACTGAGCAATTATTTGAAACCTGCAATTATCATAAAAGTGGTGGTGCCTCTTGCGTGTGCATTTTTGCAAGATGTGCTCAGAACGATAACACACACCTGACCGATCTTCATACATTGGTAGAAGATGCAGACTCCAGAAACGATATTAACACGATTTCATACATCGAAACGATACCCGATGATTACCGATGTGTCGAAGACCTTTTTTAGTCAAGCCGACAACGTTTCCAAATCGACTTTCTTTATCACTCTTTGAAAAATGTGACAAAACGGCCACGTCGAAGCTATTCAATCTAGGAAAACGAATAGATGGTCTCGATGGGCCGTGCTTCGATCCGTGCATGGTAGCAGCTACTTACAACAACAACAGAACGATCACAATTGTGAGATTTTTTCGTCACGTGCCCACGTCCTAATACAAAACTACTTCCAGAAAGTCCGGTGGAATAGTTCGAAAATCAAGTCAATCAGGGGTACAAGCATTAAAAGGAAAGTCACACTCAATAGACAAGGAACAAATTATCGACAACTGACTAGCTGCAACTATGCAAACATATTATTACAGGATTCATCCGCTCTGTGATGAAGAGTTTCACAATAATTTCCATAGTTACACAAGAACTGGAACTTCGATACAACAAAGCAATCATGCAGTGCTGAGCGACAATTTACTTACATCATTCAATGGCTTCTCAAGATGGTCTACTGTTCATACTGTGTTACAAGTTTTTCTGTAGGTGCATCGCGATATTTCCTGTGCCGATGCTTATCTTTTGTGCGCTTTCCTGAAACAGGGAGATGGGGTTACACATTCATATGGAGATCATTTCATCACGAGCTTGTTGCGTATGATTTTGCATCTACAATGGAGAAGTTCAACAACTAAGTATGCAGCAAAAAGTCATGTCGTGTATGCCGAGTATATTCCGATAGATTCGCATTCCTTCTCTTGTGCCATCGACGGAGGCTCCTCCAAAACACGTCTTCAGACGCTCTACGTTATCGGAATTCTTGCTTACTTAATCAATTAATTGTACAAGCAGAGAGTAACAAAATCTCATTTTCTTTACGCGGAGAAGTTTATTTCGAGCATTCAAGACCAGGACCACCAGCCTGCATGACCCGATCCAGCAATCATGATCACACGAAGTACTGCTTATTCCAGATCAATCGGGGGTAATTCCTCCTCGTCGAATTCTAGTTGCGCATTGTTTCCTTCGTTCTTCCCGTCGTCGACCAGAGGGCAGCAGTCTTCTTCATCTATTGGCGCGTGACAGGTTGGACACGCGGCTTTGCATTCTAAGAGCCACTTTGTGACGCAGGCCTCGTGGAAGATGTGCCCACACTTCATCTGGAATATGCGTTCGGTCTCTTCCTGGTCGTCGTCCACTCTAACATAGCAAACGCCGCACGTTAGCTGCTCTTCCGTGAAGCCACCACCAGAAGTTTGTCCACCGTGCCCGCTACTGCCCTTTTCCTCTCCTTTTAGAAATAGCTCCTCCCTCGACAGCGTGCTGAGCTTCTCTAGGGCAGACCGGTCCTGCAAGGTTTTTTTCGCCACCGACTCGTCTAACTCTAGTAGGGTGTCGTAGTCTTCCGGCGTGAGGTCGCGATACATCAGTTCCAGTAAGCGCTCGTCCAAAGCGTCGAGGCCTTCGACGTCTTCGTCCTCGTCTTCGTCATAGTAGCCGTCTTCCGCGTAGTTTTCGCGGCCGAAGAGACCCCAAATCGCGTATTTGCGGATTTTTGTCCGTACTGGTGGTGGGCGGTCGAACATGCGACAACGCTGGCCCACAATCTGAAACGTGGAGCCGCGGTGTCCTCTCCCCCGATTCAAATTTCCGCGTCGTATCACGACTGGCGGTTTCAGCTGCTGGTTGAGCTGCAGCACGCGCGATCCTCCACTCGGCGAAGACACCCAGGAAGACGAAGTCGTGCATGCTGCGTAGGTGCTTGGTGCTCCGCCACCGTTCGTTGGACTCTGTGGTGGCTCCAGACGAGTTGATAAGCTATTCAGGTTTAACCCGCCTTGCGCTACACCGATGATCGCACCTCCCGTTGCCTCGACTTGGTTACCCTCGCCTGTAGTAGTTGTCCCCACTCCTAGAGACAACCCTGAAGAAACATGATCCTCACTAGAGGGTGGCAAGCCTAACAACACTATATTTGAGGCTCCCGAGCTGGCGTAGTTGTAATGCACTAAAGAATGCTGATTTGCATTTATTGAGTGCTCGCTTCCAAAGTTCTGTGGTTGCAAAGACGACTCTGTTCCGGCGGCCCCTCCTGAGTTCCACTGTGTGCTAGTTATTGTCTGTTTCGAATTGTTAGGACTTAGCATTGGTGAGCGCCTGCTCATAGCAGGTGAGCCGGAAAGGGAACTACCCGTAGACCTGTTCGATTTGTTCTTCAAAGATGAAAATTACTAATAAACATTGCTTCACCCTTATCTGCTCGACTGAAAATACAACTTAATCATATCAGAAAAATATTAGATCGACGATATTGCTCTGATGTTGAGGTCCAGCAGAAGTCTAAAAAACATTATAACGGTCTAATAACGTCTAACATAAATAAGGCCAGCTCATACCTTCCGCCAGGCGACGTACTCCCTCTATGTCCCGGTGTTGTTACGAGAATGCCGCGTTTGGTCGCAGATGTTCGCGGAAACCTGCTTCGAAATTTCTTCGGTTTGTTGTCCACTGGCGACCAATCGGCTCCTTCGTGCCCGCGTGGAAAGGGTGGTGACAATAGACCTAGTAAGGTCATCCTTGGCGGCGATTGTGCTCGTTCTGGTTTGCCTTTCGGCACCAGCAAGCCAGGATATTCCAAGCTTTCACCTGACACTCCGCCTCCTCCTCCAACATTTGTGGATTTCGATAACTGCTTTGCGAGAGCAACATCCTCCTTGCTCAGAAGGCGACTGCCAGGAGACACCATGACCAAGGCCGTTTCCTTTGACGCTGCTTTCGGAGAGACATACCCCGTTTGCAAAGTCGCAGCGAGGGACCCCAGCGACGCGGACCGCTGTCCCGCACCCCCATGATGCGACCCGGCCGCGTGACGCATGGCTACAGCAACTGCAGAGGACAGGAGAAAGGTTTTCACAGGAGCATAATAGCAGCAACTACTCCTTTCCAAGGCAACAAAGACATGTTGAAGCAAACCTCACCAGTAAAAAACAAATTCTTCATCAAGTGGTAAGAGTATCAGCGTTATTTGTAAGATTCCTTCAAATCGTCCAGAGATCATAGCCATTGATTACATTTTATCCGAAGAAAGGTGCTCCACTCCATTCCATTCCATTGAGTCTATCACTGCTCCATTCAAAATCCTTCTATGTTTTCCGCCACAAGAACAATATGAAAGATACACAAGAATCGCCTAGTAAGAGTGGAGGAGATCATTGAAAGCATCAATGGGGACGATGAGGGAAGGAAGTGGACTCGTTGTGTCTATAACAATAACTTCCTTAGAGGATCATAACTATCTCAAAATAATATGCACGCGAGGATAACAAAAACAATGCTTAGCAAGAATATGAACCTGGGATTGGATTGACAGGGAATCTATCACCGACACGCGGTTCCTTCCTGAACACGCAAGTAACTACGATAAAGAAAATTTTTTCTCTCTCACAGAACTTGCTAAACGCATCGCCTTTGCGGGTCACAGACCTTTTCTCACAGAGAGACGATCATCTGAATTTGTCGTCGGTCTACCATCTACAGAAACAAAAAGAAACTGAATCAAGAGAAAAATTTCTATCTGTCGATCGGAATGGAATGCACGACTCGTAAAAAAATAAAGCAAGAAAACACTGTCCTGTAGAGGTCCACAGCACCCTCGACGCTCTCGAGAATAATATACCACAACAGAAACTTGATCTTGCTGCCTTGAACATCACACCTAGAAACACACTGACCTAAAACGGTGTTGCGCTTTCTTTGTGTACTATCCGTCACAACAGATAAAACAACTGCTCTGCTCTCGTTTCCTGATCTCATGAATCTAGTGTAGACTCTACTGTGTACCACATATAGACACTGTGTACAACAGCAGCGAAGGACATGTGTGGTCGTCGATAAATAAAAACATTAATGTTTACAGTTGAACAAGAAATCATGACAGCGAAGAACTCCTAATTTAGTTCCATGATCAGCTTCTGATAGGCTAGTTTGTTCGGCATGTGTGTAGTTTTTACAGATTGATGCGGGGATTCCCGGACGTGTAATGCTTGCGGGCGCAGAGGTTTAAAAATTTTCCGGAATATTTCTCGTCGTACACGGTCGTCGAGGTTCTTTGAATGTGATTTTCATAATGCCCGTCCAGGGTTCATCCTTGGCCTACTGTGAAGCGCGTATCCACTTCGACGGTACCCATTGAACTCCTAGTACTTTGTACTTGTGTCTCCTCCTATGATCTTCGTGTAGTCTAGTAATATGTATGACCTCTTCTTCCAGAAGGTGCTGATGAGAATGATTCTCGCGCACGCCACTATTCCAAAAATTTTCCTGGGGCCTGTGGCTGCACGCCCTTCCCAGGCGGAGACACAGCGTCTGGCTCCGACCCATTATCTGACATTGTATGAGCAGCGGTCAGTCATTAGAAGTGGTATCCATCAGCACAAACTGCCGTGGCTTTGAGTATCTCTCACCGTCAAAGGAAGAATCCGCGGCTTGAGTTGTGCGTTTCAAAAAACAAACCAAGTTCAATGAACATCGAAGGCATCAAAGGCGTTACGTTGTTTCTTTAGTAGACTAGGACTACACTGACATTCTTTCATCATCATAAATTTCAATTCCAATTTCGCCCTGTTGCTCGAGCTCCTGATCCAATTCGGCATCGTCATCGTCAAAGTAATGCTGGCCAATTTGTGTTGACATCGCCTTCATTTTGAAGTTCTCGGCTGGTGCGAAGGCGGTCAGCGTCAAGCAGAGAGCGCCATAAAACACTAGATTCGGCAAGGCTTCGTCCAACATCCAGAGATGCTGCCACAGCGTAAACTTAGAAAAGTAATTACATCGCTGATCTGTGATCTCTTGTTAAAGTCGGCCTTCTCCTGTTTTCTAACCATCGATCGTGATGAAAAAACGGTCATTTACAGCAGGACTTTTCCAAAACTGTCTGCTTCATCGAGTGAAGTCGAAACATTGAAAGGCCCAACTATGTTCCGAAGATACATATATAAGTTTTCGGGCTGCACGGCGCCCCCCCCTGTGGCATGGTCTGTGGTGGCGCGCGCGCGCTTTTCCGCGCTGATTTTCGCGGATTCTAGTGGTGCAAGGCGTCAAAACTTGGCGCGGGCCGCCCCTTGCGCCTCTCTGCGTGTTCCTCAGGTGCCTCCTGGCCTCTGCTGACTATCGCAGGCGGGAGGCAAGGCGGCCACGGTCTCAAGAGCAAGCAAGCCGATGACGAAGGGCCCGGAGGGCACAGGCCGCACCGCTCAGGGGGCCCAGCCCCTCGCCTTTTGCCGCCTTCGGAGGCCTTCCACCCCCGGCGCACTGCTGCGGCGGCGAAGCATATCGGAGGCACTTACGGCACAGGCAGGCACCTGGAAGGGGGCGCAGGCGGTCCCTTGGGCCCCTTTTGAAGCCTCCCACCTACATCGGAGGCCTGTGGGGAACAGCCAGGCAGATGGAAGGGAGCGAAGGAGGCCACTTGGCCCCCTTTTGAGGCCTTCCACCCCCGGCAGACGCCTTAAAAAGGGGTCCGGGGCTACCGGTGCCCCCCCCCTACGCTAGGGGGGTACCGTAGCCCTGAGCCCTGGATCATATATTCATCTGATAAAACAAGGCCATACCCTCGACGGAGCCGAAATATTCAACCGCCATTTCCAAGACAGCGATAGTGGCAAATCATTAGAGCTACCTCCGCATAGGCATCCTTGGCATCATCCTTGGCCAATGAGGGACCTAGTAGGTACTTGAAAAGTACAAGGATGGGGTGGATGATGCACTTGCGGTAGCCCTAAAATGAGCATATGCTCAAAAACATTATCCGCTGAAACGTATTCATCATGCGCAAGGTCTCCAGTTGTTTTTCTTCTTCCAGAGCAACTTTAAGCGTCGACAACCTGGAGTAACCCCAGTTGGCGAGGCATCCAAAAATCAGTGCTTCTGGCAGCATATGAAAAAAGAAAAAGGAAGTAGATGGGCACTTATCATCAGTGTATATGAGATCATCATCTGTGTATATCTTTTTGTTTCCACTCTTCTTGCATCTTTTTTGTTTTGTTCGTAGCAGACACTTTTGTCAACATGAATGCATAGCTACAATCTTGTCCATTGTTCAGATCCAACGATAGTGGAATTGGAAAAATACCATTCATTATCATATCATAAACCAACATCAAAGTCGTCGGAGACACCAATTCTTGCACGCCACTGAGAAACGACGGGAGCACGATAGGTTGCGACCTCAGCGTCTCCTCAGTCGCCATGTACATAGCAAAGATACGAGCGAAGGCCGAGAAGGGAATGAAACAGGGGCGTATATTCTCGGGAAAATAAAAGGTACTCTTCTACTGGAAAACTTCAATTGCACATACGGATTCCTATTGTGCAAAGTAATTCTATTGATTCAGTTACTTATTATTTGTAATATCCATATCATTTTTTCCACCGAAGTTTATGGATCCAGTTTTCTCGATGAGTGGTGTAGTAATCAACTACGACAGATACTCTACTTCGTTCTAGGAAGTTCTCGTCCCCTCGAGTGACTTATCTATTAGAATAGGCTAGTGCCTTAATCAGCAAGTACTACTCGGCATAAAGAAATAGACTAACCCGTAGGCACCAAGCCAATAGACTTCCCGACTTTGCAAGCTCTCGTGAGCAGTGCCATATCCAAGGCAAATTAGGACGGCCGCCGTCACTGCAGAGCCGAACTTCGCTACTCCAAGAGTATCTGGAATCTTAGACAGACTCAATTCTAGCCATTTTCCTAGTATTAGTAGTGCACTTATCCTAGAACAATCTTCTTTGTGTTTCTAGTACTAGTACTAACTAGACTTTTGGGGCTTCGCTCGAGGTTTCTGCTATCTTTCTAGACGTTAAAAAAGGCTTGAGGTATAAAAAATAGAAAAAACTACTCAGCGACGAAAGAACACAGAAAAAAGCGCGCGCCTTAAACATCCGCAAAAATGAAAAAAGTGCTGCGCGTTGGTGTTGGGTGGCTATGGGTATGGATAGGGATGCGGATACGGATACGGCTACGGGTATGGATGTGGCCATGGGTACGGATATGGATGTGGGATATGGATGTGGAGCATGGGTGGGGGACATGGATGTGGGATATGGATGTGGGGTATGGGTGTGGGATATGGATAGGCGTGTGGGGTATGGATCTGGATGGGGGATATGGATGTGGGATAAGGGAAGAGGATATGGATGTGGGATAAGGGATAAGGATATGGATGCGGGAGATGGATTTGGGCGATGGATTTGGGCGATGGGTGTGGGAAATGGATGTGGGATATGGATGTGGGATATGGATGTGGGATATGGATGTGGGATATGGATG